AAATTTGTTTGTAAATTTGCAAATAATTTATCTTGATTTATAAATTCTTTTGGAGCAAAAAAAAAAAAAAAAAAAAAAAAAACCTTTCTATATTAATTGGGCTATTCCCAATTCCCATATATCCGACTTATATACAATTGACCATCAGTAATTATCAAACCGCCCCCATTATTTTTTTTTATTTCTATATAAAATATTTTTTAAAAAAAAAAAAAAAAAGTGTGTTATAAATAAAGTATTTGGGGGGGGGGGATGGGGGTTTATATAAAAAATATGGGTTGTTTAAATTAATATTATTAATTATAAATAATAACTAAATTAAATATTAAATAATTTAAAAAAACGATTTTTTTTTTTTTTTTAATTTTTAATTTTGTTTTTAATTTTATTTTTTTTTTTTTTTTTTATTTTATAATTTTTTAAAAAAAAAAAAGTATCTTTTTTTTTCTTTATTTTTATTTTGTCTTTATATTTTTTTTTTATAGTTTTTATATTTATTGTTATAGTTATTATATTATTATACAATTACTTTATAAATTTATCTCTTTAATAATTTACACACTACATAAATTACTTTTTATTAAAAAAAAGAAAAGAATATAATATTAAAATGTCAACAAATGATATACTTTATGCATGTGTCAGTTATAAAGGTGTTGTTTTAGTAGAACACAAAATGGTTAATGGTAACTTTATTGATTTAGCAAAAAAGTATTTAATCATCATAAAATAAAATAATAATAATAATAATTAATTTATAATAACAAAGCAGTAATGATATTAATATTTAAAACAATATATTTAATATAGACTTGTAGCCAAAATTCCACCAAACTCAAAAAAGATTTATTCATCAGAGAATCACAACTTTCATTATATTTCAGAAAATGATTTAGCATTTTTATGTCTTTGTCATGAAAAATTTGGAGTTCAAATACCAGCAGAATTTTTAATGGATGTTAAAGTTCGTTTCATTTCAACATTTGGTCAATCATTTGCTCACAATTTAAATGGAAATTACGAACCATTCGCTAGAACTTTAGAAGAGCGTATGAGACACTATTCAAACCCAAAATCTAATAAAATGAATTTAGTCATGGATCAAGTTTCAGAAGCTAGAGGTGTTATCACTGATGCAATTGGTATGTATTTTTTTTTTATAGTTATATAGTAATAAAAGTAATAGTTATAGTAGTATCAAATTTCAACCTTATCAATATTTTTTTTGTGCACACCACTATTATTTTTGAAAACACCCAAATATTCACGCTTAACCACCTCGTTTTGCGAGAAAATTTTTTTTTTTTTTTTTTTTTTTTAAATATCTTTTTTTTATGACATCAATAACCCCGGTCCGCTTTTATTAATAATTTAAATTATCATACAGAAAAAACAATTCACAGAGGTGAAAAAATTGAAATTATTGTAGATAAAACTGAAAGATTACAAGCAGAATCATTCCAATTCAAATCAAACTCAGTTCAATTAAAGAGAAAGCTTTGGTGGCAAAATAAAAAATTAGCCATTGTAATTGCTATTGTTGTTATAGTAAGTAGAATAGTATAGGATACATTTCTCTATAGTTGTTTTAGGTTTCATATTAACCATTTTTTTTTTTTGCACAGATATTGATTGCAGTCATTACACTTAGTGTTTTAAAATATTTCAAGGTTATTTAAACATCCTGTTTTCAAAAACCCTCAACATGATTTATATAAAATCTTTTTTACCAAGTATCAATTTATTTTTTATTTAAAATAATTTTAGTTTTATCAAACAACAATATAATAATAATAGTACAACAATATAATAATAATAATAATAATAACACAAAATAACAATATAACAATAATAACACAGTGTCGTAATATAAAATCGATGGTTCTATACAATAATAGCATCAATATTTAAAAAAAAAGAAAAGAAAAAAAAAGAAAAGAAAAAAACAATTTTTAAAAAAAAAAAATAAAAACAAAAAATAATAATAATAAATTATAGAATTAAATTTGTAAAATAAAAAAATTTTAACCTTTTATTATTTAAGCTTTAAAGTAATATTTTACCAATTTTTTATATATTTAAATTTATACTTTTATTTAATTGGATTTCCTTGTCTGGAAAGTTGGAATGAAAGATTTGGTCCAAATATATTATTTTTGATTATGGTTATGATTATGATTATTATAATGATTAGATTGTTTCTATTTTGTAGTTGTAATTATTTGAATGGAATTTCATTTGAGAACCATTTCCATATTGGGTAATAAATTGACTTTTATGGTTTAAAAATATAATATAATATCTAATATTATTTGAATAAATATCTATTTTAGTTTTATTTGGTTTAAATAAAGATCGAATTCAAATTATTAATAAATTAACCTAATAAAATGATTTAAAGATACTAAGGTAATTTTGAAAAAAATGAACAAACAAAAATTAAAAAAACAAATAAAACTATAAATAACTTTGATATGCTCAAATTTGAAAATTATTTTAAAAAAATATAAAAATTAAATTATATTTTTTTATTTTTTTTTCATTTTTTTTAATTATTTTTTTTATTTTTTTTTTTTTTTATTTTTTTTCTTTTTTTTTTTTTTTTTTTTTTTTTTTCATTTTCATTTTTATTTGTTTTATTTATTAAGTGCTTTAACTACTCTTGTTTTTTATTTATTTATTTAGATTATTTATTATAAATTGTTTTAATTATAATATAAACAACAAAAATTGTTTTTTTTTTATTTTTTTATATTTTTTTTAATTAATATAGCAATAATAATCATAGTTTATAATCATAGTTTACAATAATAACAATAATAATAAAAACAATAATAATCATAATATATAAAATACTTTAATTTATTATTCATATAATGATTTATTATAATAAATAAACAAAATAATAATTTAAATAAAATGTCAAGATTAGATAGATTATTAACATTATTAGAAACTGGAAGTAGTCCATCAATTAGAAAAGCAGCAGCTCAGCAAATTGGTGAGATTCAAAAATTATATCCATATGATTTACAAGCATTGTTAGATAAAGTTCAGGTCTATCTTAGTAGTAATGTATGGGATACTAGAATAGCAGGTGGTCAAGCAATAGAGGCTATCTCTGCTAATGTGCCTCTGTGGGATCCTATTCAAAGGATTAAAGAAAAAGAAGAGGAAGAAAAGGAGCGAATACTAAATAGCTTACCACAAGTTAAAACAGAAGAAGGCATTAATCAATACAATGTCAAACAGGAATCAATAGTAGATAGTTCAAATATTACCACTACCACATCAACAACAACATCATCATCCCTAAGCAATAACAATTTAGCAACAATTGAGGATGAATTTGATTTACAATTTAAAAATTTTGATATTGTTAAAGTTATAAATTATGGCGCCCCATTATTAGCTTCAGGTGGTAAAGAATTTGATGAAGAAGAAATTGATCCAAATATGGATCCAAAAGAATTGATTTTAAAACAAAAAAAGAAATTAAAGAAGCAATTAGGTTTAGATGAATTACCAGTAAAATTGGAATCGTTGGATAGTTTAGTAGAGGACAAAGATATAGTTTTAAATAGCAAAGCTGTCGCAAAAGCTAAAAAAGAAAAAGAGGAAAAGGAGAAAAAAGAAGATATTAGTCAAGTTTTAGATACAACTGGTATGTCGGCTCGTGAAAGAAACAAAGCAAAAAGAAAAGCAAGAAGTGCTGTTAAAGAAAAAGAAACTGTTCAACCAACTAAAAGATTTAAAGAAGTAAAATCATCGCAGCCTCAAAATAGCAATAGCGCAGCACCATCTTCATCATCAACAAAACAACATGTTACCGAACAACCCCAAGATGCTGGAAAAATTGTTATTGAATCAATTTTAGATGTTGAAAAAGCATATAATCAAGATGAATGGCCATTCACCTCACTTTATAATGATTTGGTTATTGATTTATTTAGGTAACTATTATTTATTTGTTTATTTATTAAATATATTGATATTCCAATATTAATAATTATTTATTTATTTATTTATTTTAGTCCTACATGGGAAATTAGACATGGTTCTTTAGTTGGTTTAAGAGAAATTTGTAAAAAGCATGGTGGAGGTGGTGGTAAAACAATTCATACACCACTCGATAAAATGGATTATGTAAATTCCAAATGGTTAGAAGATTTTTCACTAAGACTATTGTGTGTTATTACTTTAGATCGATTTGCAGATTATACCTCTGATCAAGTATGTTTATTTTTTTTTTTATCTCATTAAACTATATACTAATTTTTTTTATTAAAATTCGAATTATCATATTATTATAGTTAGTTGCACCAGTAAGAGAAACATGCTCACAAACTTTGGGTATAGTTGTAAGATTTATGGATCAAGAAAGTGTTTTAAAAGTTTTAGATATTTTATTATGTTTACAAAAAAATAAATTATGGGAAGTTAGACATGGTGGAATGTTAGGTATAAAATATGTTGTAGCAGTTAGATTGGATTTAATTGACGTCATATTACCAAAAATACTACCAGCATTGATAGATGGCCTCGAAGATAACGATGATGACGTGCGTGCAGTAGCATCAGAAACCTTTCACCCAATTTCTAGATTCCTTGTTGAAAAGCATATTGATAAGCTGCCAGAAATTCTAACCATTCTTTGGGATATTCTTTTAGAGTTGGATGATTTAGCTGTATCAACTGCAAGTGTTTTGAATTTATTATCAAATTTTTATTCATATCCAGAAGTTTTACCCCCAGTAAATAATAGTATAAATAATAATAATGGTATAAACGAATCATCATCCAACTCATCTACACCACCACTCCCACACGCTCAACATTCAAAATTAGCTCATTTAGTACCAAGACTATATCCATTTTTTAGACATAATTTATATTCAGTAAGATTATCATCAATTAAAACTATTGAAAGATTAATTGTAGCAACCCCTCAAGATTCGAAAACTCATTGGTTACTCTCAATCCTACCAGATTTAATGCGTTATATTTTCCAAAACATAATTTTAGAAGAAAAGGAAGAAATTGTAGATTTATCTTTATCAACTTGGCAATCATTAGTTAAAATATTTAAACCAAATGTTATTCGTGGTGCCTGTAGATCATTTTTCTCTCAGTGGGTAACACTATTATCAACACCACCAAATACATTGTTGGATAAATCTCTTTTGGTGGATGCCTCGAAAACCAAACCAATGGAAGTGGTTACCAGCAGAAAGACAAAGAAATCAATTCAACAACAACAACAGCAACAACAACAACAAAACATTGCAAATTCAGACTACCTAACCACCAGATCAAAGATTATTGGTTCAACTGCCTTGGGTTTGGCTGTTAGAATGTGGCCATCAGAGGATTTCAATGAAATTCAAGAAATGTTCCACTCGATGCTTACCTCCGTATCCGGTCTCCATAAACATTTAGCAGCTTTAATTTTATGTGAAGCTTTTAGCGCTGAAAGCTGGCCAAACCAACCACCAACATTTCAATTATCACCAATTTCTATTCAATATATCAACAGTCATCTCTCTGAGGAGTTGGATGTAAAAACTACCTCAAATTATTATATGGAAGCCACCAATATCGTACAAAATAAACTACTATCCGACGCGCGTGTACTATCATCAAGTTTGCTTAATGTTGGTTTTGATTTTAGTGGGGTCGAACTTTTAAATATCATCAGTAATCCATCAGCTCAAATACCATATGAACATATTATGCCATACTCTATTGAATTGGTTACCAATGTATATGATTTTTGTGTAAGCTATATGACACAGGCCCAACAAAACCCAAGTGTTATTCAACCAGTTATCGATCAATTAGAAGCACGTAAAAAAACAGTTATGGTTACCATTGGTTTTATTGAAAAGATTCAAACTGAATATCATACTCAAGTTTTAGCAGAGATGTCAAGTTTATTAGTTGTCTCAAACAATATACCCAATACTGTATCACCCATAGTACGTAGTTTGATGTTATCGATTAGAAAAGATGAAAATAGTCAATATCAACTTCGTTCAGCTCGTTCATTATCACTTTTTACCCAAATTTCTGTTGATCGACCCCGTTGTCCAAATCCAAAGATTATTAGCTCATTATTTACCATTTTAGTTGATGATCGTACCGAAACACCATTAATTCCTGCTGATTCACCATCAACCTCATCCATTAAAACCGAAAAAGAACTATTGCTCAATAAACAATTAGATACAAATAGTGAATCAACAACAGCACAAACAAATGACGAAGTTAGATTAGCAATTTTGGCACGTCGTGGTTCTGTAATGTTTTTTAATCAACTATGTAAACGTTTTGATAATAAATTATTTGAGAGTTTGCCATCACTTTATGAAACCATTTTTAAAGGCACAATGGTCAAACTCTACACAGAGTTAATTCAACAACAGCCACAGCAACATCCACAACTCTTCCCACCCACAACTCTCTTTTCAAATGACGACTTACAAAAAGTGGTAGATGAAATTCAATTAATTCGTGTATTATTACCAGTAATGAACCCATGCTATCATAATCATATGATGGAACTAATTGGTGTTATTTTCGAGTTTGTAAAATACCCAAAACATCAAGTCCAATTGATGGCCTCAAAATGTATTGCTCGTTTCTGTCAAATTTTAACATTACCATCAATGAGGTTCCTCATTAGAAACCTTTTACCATTGCTTGGCGACTCTAGATCACTTACCAATAGAATGGGAGCTATTCATACCGTTTCACAAATTATTAGAGATATGGAAATGCAAATATTACCATATATTGTATTCTTTACAATCCCAATTTTAGGCTGCATGAGTGACCAAGATCCTGATCAACGTCGTGTGGCCACTCTTTGTTTTGCAAAATTGGTTAAACTAATGCCATTAGAAAAAGGTATTGCTGATCCAATTGGTCTCGATGATGACCTAGTTCAAAAGAAACAGGATGAACGTAAATTCCTCGAACAATTACTAGATGGTTCAAAAGTTGAAACCTATCCTCTTCCAATTCGTATCAACACCGAGTTAAGAAAATATCAACAAGATGGTGTTAATTGGTTGGCTTTCTTAAACAAATATAAATTACATGGTATCCTTTGTGACGATATGGGTCTCGGTAAAACTTTACAAACAATTTGTATTATTGCTGGTGATGATTATCATAGACGTGTTAACTACTTAGAAAAGGGTACTCCCGATTTTGCTCCATTACCATCCTTAGTAGTTTGCCCTCCATCGTTAGTTGGTCACTGGTTTTATGAAATCAAGAAGTTTTGTAGTGATGCATCAATGAAACCAATGACCTATATGGGTAATCCAGCAGAACGTCAAGCACAAAGAGCTCGTTTCAAAGACCATAATGTTTTAATTATGTCCTATGACATTATGAGAAATGATATTGACGTACTCTCAGAGATGCACTTTAATTATTGTATTCTCGATGAAGGTCATATCATTAAAAATGCCAAAACCAAACTCACCCAAGCTGCTAAACGTTTACAATCGAATCATCGTCTTATTCTATCTGGTACCCCAATTCAAAACAATGTATTAGAACTTTGGTCTCTCTTTGATTTCCTAATGCCAGGTTTCCTCGGTACCGAGAAATTATTTAACGAACTTTATAGCAAACCAATTTTAGAAAGTAAGGATCCAAAATGTTCCCAAAAAGATCAAGAGGCTGGTGTTTTGGCAATGGAAGCGCTTCATCGTCAAGTTTTACCCTTCCTCTTACGTCGTCTTAAAGAAGATGTATTGGCCGATCTACCACCAAAAATTATTCAAGATCGTTATTGTAACCTATCACCATTACAAATTCGTCTCTATGACTATTTCTCAAAAACCCAATTTAAAGAAAATATTAAAAGTGAGGTCGATGATGAATTGGCCGTCGATGAAGATGAAGAAACTATCAATACCAACGAAAAGAAAAAGAAAAGAGGTAATTCAGGTAATAATGGTGCAACTCATATTTTCCAAGCATTACAATATTTAAGAAAACTTTGTGGACATCCATCATTTGTTTTAAATCCAAATCATCCACAGTATAATACAATCATGAAGGAATTCAGAATGTCACCTCAAGATCTTTTAGACATTGGTCACTCACCAAAACTTGTTTCATTAAAAGAACTTTTATTAGAATGTGGTATAGGTGTATCATCACATCAACAACTAAAATCATCAACATCAAGCACCTCATCAATTATTAAAAATGAAATTGCCAACGAGATTTCAGCAACTACAAACCAACATAGAGTTTTAATCTTTGCACAAATGAAACAGATGTTAGATATTGTAGAAAATGAACTTTTCAAGAAACATCTCCCAAGTATTACCTATCTTCGTATGGATGGTTCAACCGAATCAATGAAAAGACATACAATCGTTAACCAATTCAATTCAGATCCAACTATCGATGTTTTACTTTTAACTACACATGTTGGTGGTTTAGGTCTTAATTTAACTGGTGCTGATACTGTTATATTTTTAGAGCATGATTGGAATCCAATGAAAGATCTTCAAGCTATGGATAGAGCACATCGTATTGGTCAAAAGAAAGTTGTCAATGTATATCGTCTTATTACCACAGGAACATTAGAAGAAAAGATTATGGGTCTTCAAAAATTCAAATTAAATATCGCAAACACTGTTATTAATCAAGATAACTCTTCACTTCAAACAATGTCTACAAATGAACTACTCAACTTGTTTGATTATTCCGACGAACAAAAACAATCAAATGCTAAATCTTCTTCAATCAACGACTATACAAACGAATCCAATATCTCAGACACTGGTGAAGTTAGCACAGGAGCTGGTGGTAATAATGGTGGTAAACTTAAAAATATTTTAGATTCACTTGGCGAACTTTGGGACGAATCACAATATACCGAAGAATTTAATTTAACAAACTTTATGAATCAATTAAATTAAAATGCAACTTAATTTAAATTAGAAAAGAAAAAAAAATAATAAAAAAAAAAATAAAAATAAAAATTTTAAAAAAAAAAAATAATTAGATCCCAATTTTTCCAGCTTTTTTTTTTTTTTTTTAAATAAAACAAAATAACAAAAGGGTTTTTTTTTTTTTTTTTTTTTTTTTTTTTTTATTAAATCATCAAATTACAATATTATTTTTTAAATTTTTATTTTTTTTAAAAAATCAATATTAAACTATAATTTTTTATTTTTTTTAAAAAATACTAATCATTTATATCGCACTATTATATAATCATATTGATTTTTATCAACTAAAATATACATAAAGATAAGAGAAAAAAAGAGAAAAAAGTTTTTATGTATGTATTGGTAATTTATGTGAAAAAAAGAAATTGAAATTTTCCATACACCCACATAACAACAAAAAAATTCACATTATAAACCCACCCAAAAAAACTCATTAAAATTTAAATTAGACAGATAAATAAAAAAAAAAAACCATCACTAAATTTTGTTTTTATAAATTTTTTTTTTTTATTTATTTCATTATCTTTTTATTTTTAAATATTTAGAGCTCCTATTTAAGATTTATTTCAATATTTCTAGAAATAAATGTAATAATCCATATAAAAAAAAATTAAAACTATCCAACTAGAAATTCAAATAAAATATTTTCTCCTTTTTCCTTTTATAAGAAAATTTATCTTTTTCTAGCATTAGATTGCAATATAAACAAATTTATTTTTTTTTAATTTTTTTTATTTTTCAAAAATCATTAAACAAATAAACATATCTTTTGAATAAAAATTTAATATATATGTAAATATTTCCACTACTATATAGCATTCAATTAAAATTTCTTTATAAAAAATATTTATAATAATAATTTAAAAGCAGTATAAAATTCACAATATAGAATCATAAAGATCCACACAATAAATCTAATATTTTTTCATAGAATTAATGTGTTTGTGCACAAATCTTTTTCATTGTTTATTTAATTTTATTCATTTTAAAAAAGAAACACAATCCAAATTATAATAATTTTTTTCTAAATTCCATCTGTAAAAAGTAAAATATAATATTATTTTATACCACACAAAAATTAAAATGCCATTTTATTGTTTCATAAAATCTATCAAATTAAATTCCTCGTCATCCTTCTTCAAAACCATTTTATTTTCACCCATTTCTAAACCATTAATGGAGCCAAATGTTGATACCATTATTTTTATTTTATTTAATTTATTAATTAATTTAAATTTAGTTTAATTAAATTTAAATTTTGTAAAATTAAATTAACTAATTCAATTTAAATTGTTATTTTAATGGTTACTTTTTTTTTTTTTTTTTTTTTGTTTTATAAACATTTTCGAAGCTCAATAATTATTTAATTTGTAAAAACTTTTTTTTTTTACACTTTTTTTTTATATATAACCCAATCAAATTTTAAATATCAATTAAAAATAATTTTAATTTTTTTATATAAACAAATAATTTAAATTGTAATATATTTGTTCCTTCATAGTTTTCTTTCAAATAAAAACTATCTTATTCTTTTCTCCATCACTTGATAAGGGGTGATTTTTTAAAACAACCTAAAAATAACACCTAAATATTTTTTTTTTTTTTCTTTATTTTTTTATTTTTTTTTTCCATTTATCATAATTAAAAACACAAAAGGCACACTCATTGATTTTTTTATACAGAAAAATTATTTTTTAAAAAAAAAAATTAAAAAAAATAATTATAAAAAAAAAAAAAATTAAAAAAAATTAAAAAAAAAAAAAAAAAAAAACGTGTATCGAAATTTTGTTTTTTTTTTTAGTGTGTAATAAATAAAATAATAATAAATAAATAACAAATAATAATTATAGTATTATTTACAATAATAATAATAATTAAATAATAAAAAATTACATTTATTTATTTCAGATAGAAAATTTATATTTTTTTAAAAAAAATAAAACTTTTAAAAAAATTTAATATATTTTTATTTGTACCCACATTTTCACACACCATAACAACAATACAATTGTTTAGAGAATTAATTAATTAATTTAAAATATTTCATTTTATAAATTAAAGTTAGAATTTAGAATAAGAATATAGAATAAAAACCATCATCAATATTAATAGTTCAACAAACATAAAATTAATGATTAGAAATTTTTAATCATTTAATAAAAAAAAAAAAAATGAACATTAATAATAACAACAACAACAATAATAATAATCATTATAATAGTAATAATAGTAGTTATTTTAAAAACAATCAACATACAGAAGAATTCACATTCGAAGATATCACATTCGGCGAAAATGGAATAAATAATTTATCATTTATAATGGAAGATTCACCACAAAAGCGTATGATGAATAACAACAGTGGTCATTTCCATGGGGTCATTGGTAGTGGAAATACTCCTAACAACAACAATAACCTCAATATGAATAATATAAATAATGAAAATTTAAATTTTATGAATAACTATATCAATAACAATAGCAACAACAATAATAATTTTATTAATAATTTAAATGGTACATTTGAATCATCACCAAATTTAAAAGGTGTTAAAGCAATTAAAAAAGAAAAGCGTCCAAAATCAGATAAATCAGATAGACATGCAGTATTAATTAGCACAAAAGGAGATAAAATCAATTTAGCAATTTTATTAAAACAATTAGAAGAGTGTGGTCCAGTTAGAGCTCACCATTTTAGAGAAAGACAAAATTTTGGTTTCGTACAATTTTTAGATAGTGATAGTGCAGATAATGCTATAGAGAAATTAAATCTAAGAGATATCGATGGTCAAATTATAACAGTTCAACGTATCAAGCGTATTACACCAGGTAAAGATCCGCGTATAGCATCTGTAGGCTCACCTCAATGCAGTTCCCTACCAACTCAATTACCATCAATGATCGAAAATAAACCAGACAGTACTTTAGTATTAAAAAATTTACCATTCAATTTAAGACAACTCCAATTACAAGAGATTCTCGAAGGAATTAATCCATCTGCCCCACAATCTGTAAACTTTCATTACGATAATATTGGCGTTTTTCGTGGTATGGCCTTTGTAAAATATAGATTGGTTGAAGATGCCGTTAAAGTTTATGAGGCTCTTAATGGTGCTGATGTTCATGGTCGTAGAGTACGTTTGGAATACAAAAGAAAAGTTTCAAAGAGCGCAGAAATCCCACAAGAGGTTTTAGAAGATGAACAATTACGTGTAGTATGGGAACAATTAAAGGAGTTTAAAGAGGATCCAAATTCAACAGAAATGAACTTCAGTTCTTTTACTGGTGTACAAAGAATGTATATTCATAACATGGCCGAAAAATTAAAATTATCACATACTTCTGCTGGTGAGGAGTCGACTAGATCAATCGTTATCACAAATAAAAAGCCAGCTCTAGTTGGTACACCAAGTCAAGACCCACAATTTCTTTCAACTTCACCACCAATCGGTAACAGTATCGGTAGTATTGGCAGTGGTATTATTGGTGCCTCAAATAATAATAATAATAGTGGAAATGGTAATTTACTTGGTGGTTCAACATCATCTTATACTATTGGTGGTCCATCAAGTTTAAATTCAATGACATCAACTTTAAATAATTTAGGTAGTTATGGTGGTTTATCAACTACTCCACCACAATTAACAACATCAAATTTAATTTCACCATCAAATGATAATATTTCAACTCAACAACAACAACAACAACACCAACAACAACAACAACATCAATTTAATAGTACAATAGGTTTTAAGATTCCATCATCAAATAATTCAACATCAAATGTTTCAATTCCAAAAAGTCATATAGGTTTTAATATAGCAAATACAAATAGCAATAATAATAATAGCGCAAATGGTTTTATAACACCACCATCCACAACACCAACCAACTCTTTAGCTAGCAACAGTGGAAATGGATTTTTATCTCATTTTAGCGACTCTAAAATTGGTACATCTTGGGAAAATAAATCAATTCATTCAACCACACCTCCATCAAATATAAACAACAACAATAGTAACGGTAACAACACAGCTACACCAACAGCAAGTTTTTTAACAATAAAAGGATTCAGAGATAGATCCTATTCAGCATCAGCTTTATCATCAGATATCGATCTTTCATCTTCACCCAATTGGAGAACATCAAATATAAATTCATCATTTGGTTTAATTGGTTCAAATTCCACAAACAATAATAGCAATAATAACAATAGTTTAGGTGGAATTTATTTAAATAGTGTTAATAGTAGTAATAATATAAATAATAGTAATATAAATAATATAAACAATCATATCATCAAAAATAATAATAATCATATAAATAATAGTCATATTTTATCTCCTTCTTCATCATTTTCATCTCCTTCATATAATAGTCCAATCGCTAATAATAGTGGTATTAATAGCGGTAATGGTATTTTAATTAGTCAAAATAATAGTTTAAATAGTTTGGGTACAAGTAATGGTATTTTTATACCAAGCCCACCTAATAATAGTAATATAATAAATAATAGCAGTATTAATTTTAGTGGTTCAAATGGCTCAAATAGTTTCAATTCGCCAATTTTACGCCAACCTAAAGGTCCAGATGGCACCAAGGGTTTTTCTGATGGTTATAAAGCAACAAGAAAATTAGGTCAAAGTCCAGTTACTTCATCAATACTCAATATCCAATAATAATAATTAATTCTTTTACAACTCGGTAATCAACTTAAAAATATTTTTGAATAATTTTTAAAAATATTTATTTATATACACTCTATTTTAATTAATAAATAAAATTAAAAATAAAAATAAAAAAAATAAAAAAAAATAATATAATAAAGAAAAAGAAATTAAAAATTAATTTATTTATTAGTTTTTTTTTTCACCCTATATATTTATAAATTCTAAAATTATATCAATCATATAATTAATTAATTTATTAATTTATTTATATAACAAAAATAAACCTTATTTTTTTTTACCTTTTTTTTTTTTTTTTTTTAAAATTTTTATAATTTTTTAATTTTTATTTTTATTTTTTAAATTTTTAATTTTTAGCAAAGAAAAAAAAAGAAAAAATTTAATTATTTATAATTGTTATATTGGGTGTAATACTATATTTGTGTATGGTTTTTTATTTATAAATATTAATAATATATATAGTTTAATAATAGTAAATAAAAATAATATAGTTAAATAATAATAATAAATAAATAAATAAATATATAAATAATTAAATAAAGTTATGAATTTAATTAATATTGTTAATAATATAATTAGTGGTGGTGTAAATCATGGAAGGGCTAGAGTAGAAATACAACCATCTGTTTTAAATTTAAATATAGCAATAGATAAAATAAAAGTTAAAAATTACATTGAGGCAGAGAAATATGCAAGTAAATCATTACTCTTTGACAAGGATAATATAAAAACATACAAGTTAAGAAGTTTAGCAAGGGTAGAGTTGAAAAGATATCAAGACGCTTTGGATGATATAGCTGAAATATTAAATAGAGAGTTCCACAACTGTGAGGCTAAAAATGAACAAACCAGAATTATTGTGTTATTTGAAAACCAGAGAAAGTTCAATTTGCAAATCCCCAAAGATCCAGATCAAGACACTAGAGATCAATTCCTAGAGCCATTCAAATACTTATTCCTAGATAATGACATTGAAGAAAAGGAACAGGTTTTAAATTTTTATAATAATAATGTATACTTTTTAAACTATACAAATATTAAAAACTGTATATCAGAAAATAATAATAATGATAGCAATAATAGTAATGATAATGATGAGGATGATGACAATAACAATGGAAACAGTAAAAATAAAAAGAAAAAAAATAAAAATAAAAATAAAAATAATAGCGAAGCAATCCAGAATCAAAGAGAGGGTGATAAAGAAGAATATTTATTTTGGAAGGTGTTTGGGAACACTTATATATTAAGTGAAATTTTAAATAGAGTCCATAGCAGAGTTTATGAGCTGCCATCTATATCAGACTATAAATTTGGTTACCGTAGAAAGTTTTCAACAATTACATCGGTTGCCTGGATGGTGGAGCATAATGTGTGGGAGTTGCTAAAATATAAACTAAAGGTAAATGAAAAGCTACACTTTGGCAATGTAAATGAATTTGAAGGCTGGATCGATTCGGTGTATGACAAGGAGATACTGTCATTGGTTTTAAAGAAAGTTAGTCATTTCAACAAAGATCATTTGTTCCAGAAGGCTATTCAAGGTCCAAACTATTCACTCTTAGATGTCTTATTTGATGAATATCATTTAAAGCTATCTGAAAACCATTTCAAGAAACTGTTCACTCTTTCAAAGATCCCTGTTCTCGATTATATCGTAAAGAAAATTGAAAATCAAAGAAAGTGCAACACAATGGAGGATTTAATTGACATCTCTTTTAAGCAGAAGCTTTTAGAATTCACCATTTTAAACAGTCAATCACTAACAGAAGCATTGGAGTACCTTTTCCAATATCCACATTATTTCATCGATTACACAACTCCAATTAAAATTGACTACTATAGGTTTAGAAGAATCGAGTCTGAAGATATTAAAGAGAAAATAGTCAGCATGGATAATGTAGAACTTGTAGATATTGTATTTTTGTTTCCATCATCATGGGATAGCATACCATCGTTAGTTAGACAGATTTCGAATCATATCAGAATACTTTATAAATATTTACTTAAAGAATCAGAAGAGGGAATAGATCTGGCGATAAACACCACCATAATACCTACAGAGAATGAAGAACGAGTTAAAGAATTAATTTTATTATTGATGGTATCGTCGATGGAGGTCAAGTACGTTAAACCATATTTGGATGGTTTATGCGATTACTTAACTTGCTATTTCAACAAATTTAACTGCTTTCTTTGGAACTTTGTTCTTTTCGGTAAATACAAATTTAATGAATCAGATCTATTCAGTAATTATAATGTTGGAATTTTAAGAAAAATTATTCAAGTAAAGAATGGAGAAACGCCAATTTCTACAAGTTGCTTTTCATCAGAAAAACCTATAGATAACGCTAAGGCAGTAGAGTTTTATCAATTTCTTTTTCAAAATAACAATTTAAGCCAATTCTCAAATTTATCACCCAATTTACGTCAGTTTTATAATAATATTTATCAAAACTCCACCACTCAATGTTTTAAACAAATTGTTTCAACAGCTTTGGATCAAGTCGAAAATTTCATTAAATATACTGATGTCTTTCATTTTGAAAAAGAAAGGTTTTTAATCGATAGGATGTCAGAAAGGGACCCATCGTATTTTGTAAAGAACAAAAAAGAATTTAACTATGCAAATAAGATAGGGGATAAAAAGTCGATCGATCTACTCTTAGATTACAGTTTTTACTATTTAAATGTAGAAAAGTACCATTTGCTCAGGTTCGGTTCAATTCAACTTATCAATTATTTCTGTGAAAAGCACTCAGAGAAGCCAGGCCTTGAAAGTATTAATCCAACACCATTTTTTATGGTTTTTTATCAAATTAACATCTGTAACTTAACTTTTAAAGAATTAATGAAAAACTGTAAAGTAAAATACTCTAGTAGTGGTTTAAATGAAAGAGGGGTAACAGAGATATTTAGCAATTACCAATATGCAACCAATTATAAGTACCTCAGCGAAGCAGAGTATTACTCACTTCTTAAATTCTTTTTCTACAACCATACCATCAAAATCAACTATAGCAAATATCCAAACCGAAGTGTTAGTTTCTTTTTGGAGGCACTCACCGATATGAACTATTTAAAAACAAAGCAAATATTTGACCAGTTTTCAGTAGAACCGGATATTTTTTTAGAGATACTCGATGACAGCAAATTCGTTTTCAACAGAGAATACGATTTAAACACATTTTGCTTTAAAGGTATTTCATGTAACGAACCAATTCAATTGCTTTACCATATACTCAACAAACCAAGACACTATAATAATACCTTTAACAACACCGTATATCTGCTCCATCGTATCATACTTCAAACTTCAGATGTTACAATCAAAAAGGTTTCAGAAATTAATTTCCTCTTGGATCGTTACTCAATGAATCAAAGCGGTTTCCATGATTTCTTAACTACATTCCTCCATTTACACATCAAATCACCAAGACTATCAAAATATATTATGACAAAAATGAATTTCTTTAAGGTTACACCAAGCTTTTATAAATATTTAGAAAATCAATTTAGAGAACTCAATGCTTGTATATCATACGATGACCCAGAGCAAATGGCCTGTATCAAGTTTTTCAGAAACTATGTCAACGATCAACACTTCCCAATAAAGAAGATATTAAACTCAGATGTTCAACAATTGTTCTTTGCTCTCCATGATAGATTAACGGTTCGATATATTATTGACCACCGAAAAACTAGAGAGGAAGAAGAGCTAATTTACCACAATGATTTGGAATATCTAGTTGATGTATACGATGTAGATTCTCTCAAGATCCTATTAGTCCGATACAATTTTACCGATGTCACAAATAAATCTTTAAATACAAAAATTAAATCAATTATCGATTTTAATTTTTTAAAAAATATTAAAGATGAAAAGTATGAAAATTTAAAAAAGAAAAAGAAACAAACAAAATAAACTAATTTATATAATTATATAAATTATTGTTGTAGTAATAAAATTTAAATTGTTTAAACTATTTATTTAAAATTTAAAATTCACCACCACTTGCGGATATAACTGATGCTTCGTCCCATGGACCATTAATTTCGCTAAAAAATAATAAAAAAAACAATATTAGTAAGAATACGCTCAATTATAAAAAAATTAATAGTTATGGTTATATGATATATACTTTTTATATTTTTGAATCCATATTAACCATAATGGACAAACAAAGGTAATGGTACATATGATACCCATATAGATTAATGCTAAAAGTTTGCTCATGCCCAATAATAATAAACTGCATGTAATGCATAGTATGATTGTTAAAACAACATGTAACTCTACGGAGTGTCTCTTTAAATGATGTCTGAAAATTGGAAATAATGCAAATATTTCGATGGCATATGAAATTAAAACAAATACATGGATATTTGATGGTAATCTAGATCCTAATAAAACTGATGCAAAAATTGCTGCATTTAATGAAACTGGTGCTGAAAATCTAAAAATTATAAAATACAATTAGTACACTATTTTAATGAAACGACCTATAGTTTGATGAGATGATAAATTAATATTAATACTACTAACTTTTGTGATTCGTTGTTGGTAAAACCATAGTCGTGGAAAAATAAATGGGCTAATAATAATATAAAAGTAAGTGCCCAAATTGTATCGTCGCTAAATGAGTTGGTTAAAGTTCTTAATACTGGTGATAAACCATAAACTGTACCAAATAATAATATAATATGTAATAAACTTGATCTAATTGATAAAACTAAGTATAAATATAAAAATAGTAAGTATATTTATATATGTTTATATTGTATATATAAATATGTTTTTAATATTACAATTTGAACTTGGGTCAATTATTATAATTGCTATATAACCCAATGTTAAAAATGCACCAGCTGTTCCCAATAAAATTGGTAAACTAAGAGTATGCTTTAAAGAATGAAAGAATATAATCGCGAATAAAATTACACTGGTTATTTGTTGTGAAACTGTAAAACTATCTAAAACTACTGTCCAAAAATCATACTTTATAAAATTTGCATTCTGTACTAATCCAATTAAAAAAGTTTCATCTGTATAATTATCTGGATATGGTTGTTTTTCATATAAATTCTTTTTCCATTTTGATTCATTTGATTGATTTATGTTATTACTATTGCTATTGCTATTACTACCATTACTACTACTACTGCTACTACTACTGCTACTATTGTTATTTGAATTCGTTGTGCTTATATTTAAACTATTTTGATTTATATTACGTTGATTTATTTGGTTGTGCTGGTGTGGACTATTTTTCTTTAATTTATCAATATAGTTATAATTATAATTATAATTGTCATCATCAATATTAAAATATTCATTCATTTTAAATTATTATTATTATTGTTTTATTGTTTTTTATAAAAAAATTTAAAAAAAAAAAAATAAAAAAGGGTGAAATAACAAAATATTAATATAATTTTTTAATTTAATGGTAATTATTTGCTTTACTTACTGATATATCACTTCCACAATAATGACAGGTTGGCGTGTTCATTGTGAGTTTTAATCAAAAAGGAAATTAAAAAACAAAATGGTGTTATGTGTAGTAAAGTGTTGTAAACTAATTTTTATAAAAAAATTTTAAATAATTTTTTTTGAATTTTTTATTTTTAAATTATTTTTTTATTTTTTTTTTTTATTTTTTTTTTTTAGTATTTTTTATTCTAAATAATGATTGGTTTTAATCTAAACTATTTATAGATTTAATGCATTCCTTTAAAATTTTGATTATACTCATTTAATCCAATTCCTTGTTTATTATTGTATCAATTTATAAATAAAAAAAAATAATCAAATAAAAAAAAATAATATTAATATATTGTTATAATATGTGATTCTATATAGTAATTGTTTTTATCATTTTAGTTTTATTACCTGAAAATTTAGAAAATAAATAAAAAAAAATAAAAATAAAAAATATTTAATTATAATTTAAATTTTTTAAAATAAAAAAAAAAAGATTTTTTATTTTTAATTTTTTTAATTTTTTTTTTTAATTTTTTGCCCAAGTTATAAATATACACTTTTCTTTGTTTAATATTAAAAGATGGTATGTATTCATGTTATTATATGGTCATGTATGAACGAAAAACAGCATTAACCAACATTTACATATAAAAATAATAATAGTTTAAATTAGTTAACGATGAAGACTCAAGTACTTCAAAATCATCAATTAAAAGCAATCTTTCATTGAACGATATTGGGAATAGTATTAATAGTTATAATAATAATGAAGTCAAAAAGTGCTCATTGCCTTTAAGAGTTATTGGTGTACAAGAGAATAGTTGCATAGCATTTACACCAGATAATAATAGATTTGCTTTTATTTCAGGAAATGGATCAATATATATAACTAAAGAGAGTGACCATTCATTTGAAATCGAAAATGTTTTAGTTGGCCATACTCATCATGTAAATTGTTTATTATTTCATCCAACACAACCAGTTTTAGTATCTGGTGGTTTTGATGGTATTATTATTTGGGATTATATTAAAGGTTTTATTATTAAAAAGTAAATATTCTAGTAAAAAGAAAAAATCAATTACATAAACATATTAATCATAAATTTTTTTTATTTTTAACACAGAATTGGTACTCATAAAGATCAAGATTCACATGATTCTAAAGTTGAAACTTTAACATGGTTATACGATGGTACCTCATTAGCTAGTGGTTCAAAAGATTCAACAATCAAAATTTGGGATTTTATTAAAGGCGATTATCATTTATTAGAAACTATTTCAGCACACAAAGCACCAGTTACATGTTTTAATTTTTGCAAGAATAGTGGTTTATTAGCAAGTGCAGGTAGAGATTCATCAGTTAAAGTTTGGGATGTTTCAACTTTGCAACCAGAGCAAAGATCAAAAAGATCAGATGATTCCTCCATTAAAGTAGCTTTATATTGTACATTAGATGGTCATATGGGTGATGTAGTATCGATGGTATTCAACAAAGATGGTAGCATGTTGTTTTCAGGTGCTAGAGATAATGAAATCAAAGTTTGGGATGTAAAAAAGCAAGAAGAAATTCGTTCAATTAAATTTAATAAAGGTGAAGTCACAAGTATGGAACTTTTATCAAAGGATTCAATTTTACTCACCTCATCAATCGATGGATCTATTAAATCTATAAAGTTAGCAAAGGCAACCTCAGTTGGAGTTAATGATGTATTACAAATCGAAGAGTTAGCAAAAGAAGCCCAAATTATTGAAAACAATGCAATTTCTGGTAACACCCTATCCTTGGGTCCAAGTTCGATTAGTATCGATGATATTGGTCTCGGTGATCTCTCAATTGGTTTAGATAATGAAAAAGATAAAATCCTCTATTCTTACGAGCCTTATGACAGTGTTGGTATCTCATCAATGTGTATTAGTCAAAACGGTGCCTTCATGGCCACATCATCAGATAGATCAGTTAGAATTTGGAAACTTTTACCAAACAACTACACCGACAAACCAACATTGTTCCACGAGTTTGTTGGTCATAGAGGACCCGTAAATTCAGTATTCCTCTTAGCAAATTCAGAACTATTAATTAGTGGAAGTACAGATTACAACATTTTCATCTACAACCTAAAGACAATGAGAAGAGAAGCAGTATTCAATTTTGAAGGATCAGTTTATACACTCTGTGTTGCAAAAAAAGATAATCAAACCATAGTATTTGTAGGTGGCAATCATTATGACATTAAAGGCTATTGTATACAATCAAATGAAAACGAGCAACTAATGCGTGAAGTTATACGTTTCTCTGGACACAGTGGTAAAGTTCAAGCAGTTGCTATTAGTCCAGACTCAACATTTATGGTTAGTGGTGGTCATGATTTTGATATATTGGTTTGGCAAATTAAAATTCCATATCATTATCGTGGTGGTGATGAACATAATCAACTTCAAAAACCATTAAACAAACATTCATTCCATAAAGGTCATATCACATCACTCTCATTTAACCACAACGGTAAATATTTAGCATCATGTGCAACTGATCATTCAATAGTTGTCTGGGAATGCTCTTCTTCAAATAAAAAGATCTCTCGTTTCATCACAATTGAACAGGCACACCAAAGTGTAGTTTCATCAGTCGCATTTGGTTCAAATCAATCACAACAATACTTTTTCTCTGCCTCATGGGATGGAATCATCAAGGTATGGGATCTTAGCAACCCAAAGAAAACATCTAAATCAATTAATGATTTCAAAGCCCATAACTCCCGTATATCTTCTATCAAAGTTAGTGACGATGGTGAACTTTTAATTGCCGCTTTTTCAGATGGTCATTTGAAAACATTTTCAACTTTAAGACCATGGAACTTAGTTGCCGAATATACACCAAACGACAACACAAGTTGCAATTGTATTTCTTCAAATTCAAGTATTATTGTTTCAGGTAGTGACAATGGTATGATTAGATGCTGGCCCATAAATATAGGCAACAACAATGACAATAACTAAACAACAAAATATAATAATCTTTTTTTTTTTTTTTTTTTTTTTTAGTTTCTTTTTTTTAAATAATTTTTTTTATTTTATATATTTAAAAAACTATAAATAAAATAATATTACTTTTTTCTTTTTAAAAAAAAAAATAATAATTTTTATTGTTGTTGGGTTAATAAATAATAATACAATTGGTCTTGGACTTGTATGTAACTTTGATTTGTTTTTTTTTTTTCAATTGATATTTTTTTTTCTTTAGGCATGCATATATTCAGGGATAACTTCACATTGATTTGTTTTTAAATTACAGTCAGTATTACCCTGTGGACATATATAAACTATACCTGATAGATATTTTAGGTTTGGATCACTTTCTCCTTTGCTACTATGATTGCAGAATGTTTCATTTTCAATTAAACATATTGGACAACATAATGTTGCTTTATAACCCTTTCCTTTTGTACTTTGATGATCTAAATAACGACCTAATGGACGATGACCCCAAATACAATGATTTTTTAAAACTGGATTTGGACATTTTACATTGTAGCATTCATCATGTAAACCATCTATTTCATCTGTTTCTAAAATATCCCCTTTTATAATACAACTATTAAATAAAACTATTAAAACTATAAAGATTATTAATTTTAAATTTATTTTCATCTTTTATAAATCTTTGATAAAAAAAAAACTAATTGAAAAAATTTTAAAATTAAATGATATTGATTATGATGATGGTGATTATAGTGATTATGATGAAGAATGATGATGTATTATTTATTATAATAAAAATATTAGTTAATGTATTTTTTAAAATAACTTTAATAAATTAAATAAAATAAAAAATATAAAAAATTTATAAAATTGAAATTTTTATTTAAAAAATACTAATATTATCTATTGTTTTTTTTTTTTAAATACAAATATAAATAAAAATAAAACCAAATTATTATTTTATTTCTTTATAATTAAATTTAAATTATAAATTAATATATATAAAATAAAATAAAAAATAAATTTAATAAAAATTATTATAAATATCTTTTAAAAAAAATTTTTTTATCAATTAAAATGTAATTTCTTTTTTTGTTTAATCAAAGTTGTTGTTTTAACTAAATTGTATATTTTTATGTAAAGTAGTAAGTTGTGGGTAATGTGGATTATAAATTTATAAGTATACTTTAAATTGTTGTTATAATTTAAATATATATTTAAATTGAATATTCTTTTTCTTTTTTTTTATTTTTTTTTTTTATAGATCAGATATTAAAAAAAAATATTAACTTATGATTTTCTATTAGTAAATAAAATAAAATGATGATTTTAAATAAATATAACTAATATAATATATAATTTTATGTTTGTTTTTTCCCTATTGTTGTTTTTTTTTTTTTTCTTTTAGATTGTGAAACATTGTATTTTTTTTTGGATAGAAGTTAACTGCATAAAACCAATACAGTAGGATACCTTTTTTTAATTTATTTTATTTTTATAAAAAAACATTATTATTTTATTTTTTTTTGTTTTATTTTATTTTATTTTGTTTAGTTTTTTTTTTTTTTTTTTTTTTTTTTGTTCCCATTTATTTAACATTCACACAAGACAATCAAACTATTTTTAAAAGTTCAATGATTTTTTTAAATTAAAATATTAATATTTAAAAAATAATTAAATAATTTTATTAAAGATATAGTATATAAATAAAATATTTATTTATTTAATTGAAAATATAATTAAATAAACAAATAAATATATTAAAAAAAATATATGTTTTATTATTGTAATTAAAGTATTATAATTATTATTATTTTTTATTTTTTTATTATTAATTATTAATTATTTATTATTGGATTTTAATATCTAACCATTGTTTTAAATTCAACAGCTATTTTTAAAATTGCAGGAATAAAACCAGTAAGTGCCCAATCTTTATAAACAAAAATTGCAGAATATTTTCCAAGACTGATTAATACAGGTTTAGAGAAAGGTTTATAGGATTGCATTTTATTTTCAGCTCTATGTTCGATAGCATTTATATTATTTACAACGATACTAGCAGTACATTCGGCAGTTTGTGCTAATTTTTCTTCACGAACATGTAAAACATCACCAGATACAAAAATATTACGATAGTAGGTCAAACCAGACATTTGAAGTTGATCGTTTGCTTTAATATAACCAAATTCAGAGATGGCATCTGGGTAACTATTCTTTATGAAACCTGAATTTGGGATGATACCTGTACAGAGAAAAGCTTGATCGGCTTCAATTTCACTTCCTTGGTCAGTGATAAAAACATTACCACGATGCTCCATAACACGCTCGTTATAGATTAAACGTACACCACGAGATTGTAAAAATTCTTCGGTATAACGAATAGCTTTCTTTGGGAATCGATTCATAAGACGTGATTGAGAATGAACGATAGTGACTTCTTTGCCTCTAAAATGATCGACTATTTCTGCTGCTAACTCTACACCTACAATACCGCCACCAATAATTAATATCTTTTTTAATTTTCTAATGTGATAGTAGTTCTCACGTAATGTATTTGCACGTGCTGATGAAACTACGCTAGATTCCTTAAATGGTGAATTATAACTTGAACCTGAATTAATTACTAAATAGTCAAACTCTACTGTACGATCATCCAATACTACTTCATTTCTTTGAACTCCTAACACTTCTTTTTGAACAACATTTGTATGCTTTAAATAATGTGAATGTAATACCTGAATTCTTCTGACATGAGTTGGTTCGACAATAGTTCTAAGAATACTTGGTGTAAACTCAAAGAAATCTTTTGTATCAATTAATGTTACTTGATAATCATTCTCTAATTTCTGTGCTACAATACTACCTGAAAATCCACCACCAATAATTACAACTTTTTTTCTATCTTCAATTGGTATCTTTATAAAATTTTATACATTAATAAACTATATTTTTATTTATCTATTTAAATAAATTGTATTTTAAAAAAAAACTTACTTTATTAAATAATGCGGAATATATTATATTTTTATATTTTATTATTGTTAAAAATATTTTATATAAACCAAATACAATAGACATTGCATAATGTGCTACAAAAAAAATGATTGGTAATAAAATTGAAATCATTTTATTATTGTATTATTATATTTTATTTATGTTTATATTTATATTAAAAATATTATATATATCTATTTTATAAATAAAATGAGTATTATTATTATAATCAAATTGTTATTTATTTTTGCTGTCGAGTTTCATCTAATATTTAAATTATTTTGTTTTCGTTTCTTTTTAAAGTTATTATATTATTTTAATGTGTAAATATTTTCTATAGTGAAAAAGTGATGAAATATTAGTAAATTATATTTATAAAATAAATATATTGTTATTTTTTAAACGAATATAAATATTTTTTTTAAAAAAAATGATATTTTAAAATAAATAAAAAAATAATAAAAAAAAAAAATATATTTGGGTGTGTTTTACCCCTTTTTCTAAAAATTATTCGAAAAAAACAACACACACTAAACCCCCACCATTATATATATAAGTAAATTAATACATTCATATATATTGAATAACAACATTTTTATACATATATACATTAAGAAATAACACATATTAACATATAAAAACACATACACACAACAACAATCCCCATAGATTCTACATGTTTTAATTTTTATTAATTAGGCAATATTATATTAATATTCAAAATCTACAATTATTTTCTTTTTTTCTTTTTTTCTATTTAAATATATTACAAATTGATGTGATAAGGGGTAATTATTTTCAGCTTGGTATTTTTTTTATTGATTTTTTATTGATTAACCAATGCACCACAAAATAAATCTAATTTTAAAAAAAAAAGCCCTAAATAATCATACCTATTATTTAAATTGCAAACTCCAACTATTGTGTTAATGATATATTAATAAATATATATAAATATATAAATATAATAAAAATAATAAAATTATTTTAAACTCGGTAATAATAATAATATCTAAAAAAAAAAAAAAGAAAGGAAATGAAAAGAAAATAAAATAAAATAAATAAAATCAGTTTTAACTGTAAAGAAAATTGCGCATAGTTTTCAAAATGATTTTAATATTTTTGTTTTTTTTTTTTATTTTTTTTATTTTTTTTATTTATTTTTTTTTTTAAATTGTTATTATTTTTAAATTGTTATTATTTTTAAATATTTTTTTTTCTCTTCAACTATTTTTTTTTTATAATTATCAAATATTAGATTTTTTTTATATCATTATCAAATCGTAATAAGTTAGTTTGGCCATTTATACTTTTAAATGATGTTTAAATTAAAGACAAAAAAAAAAAATATATAATGGTCCTATAATTTCCCAATTTTGGGATTTAATAACCGAATGAATTTTTTAATTTTTTTTAAATTTTTATATTTTTTTTATAATTTATTAATTAATAAATTAAACCAAAATAATTAGTTTTTTTTCATTCATTTCATTCATTAAAATAGATAAACCCTAGTTCATTATCTCTTTTTACTTTTTTTTTTTTTTTTGTAATTTTTTTTTTTATTTTTCAATTTAAAATTTTTTTAATTTAATTTAAATCTATTTTCAAATTTTTTTTTTACAAAAAATTTTAATAACACAATATTACAAAGATGTCAGAGAATGAACAAAAACAGTCACAACAAGAGTTAAAAACAAAACCAACTAGTTTTACAAATAATAATTTTTCAAAAGGTGAGGAAGTCTCAATTAGAATAGGTACAGGTATTAATATTGCAGGTAAAGCATGGGGCCCAAAAGATTCAAATAAAAAGATTTTGGGTAAGTTTTAATAATTATTAATCATCATCGTTATCATCATTTAATTAATTAATTGTTCATTGTTATTATTTTTTAGCATTACATGGTTGGTTAGATAATGCAAATACTTTTGACTTTTTAGCACCAGTAATGGCAGATCAAGGTTATAGAATTATTTGTATTGATTTTATTGGTCATGGTTTATCACCACATAAACCATCATGGTGTAATTTATACTATACTGATTATATTACTCAAGTTTTAGATGTTGCTGAAGCACTTCAATGGAAAACTTTTACCATTATGGGTCATAGGTAAATTAAAAGATTAATAATAATAATAATGGGTTAAATACAATTATAATTATAAATATTAACATAGATTATTTTTAGTATGGGAGCAGGTATTGCATCTATTTTAGCAGCAACCATGTCACATTTAGTTGAGAGAATTATATGTTTAGATTTTATAGGTATACTTTCAAAAGAAGTTGATCAAGTTAAAGCAATTCAATTTGCAATGCAAACTCGTTCATCAATTAACCAAAGAAAACCAAATCTTTATTCAAATAAACAGGATATCTTTGATAAGTTAAAATCAAATAATCCATGGATTGCAGATAACGCAGCTAATCGTCTTTTAGAGAGATCCATTGAATCCGTAATTTCAAATGATGGTGAGCAAATGTATAAACTTCGTCATGATCCACGTCTAGTTGGTCCATCCATTTTCATCATGAGAGAAGCCGAGGTATTGCTTATGTTGGATGAAATTAAATGCCCAGTCTTGGTATGTTGGGCAGATGTAACCAAACAACAAATGCTTATCAATCGTAACTGGACCCAAGTTATGGAAACAAGAATGAAGCATATTAAAAATTTATCACAGGTTATAGTCAAGGGTAGTCATCATTTCCACATGGAAAACATTGATGCTTTCTCATCAAACATTTTAGAGTTTTTAGAAAAGGATCAAGATATTTCATCTTTTGAACCACAAACAAATGCACCAAATCAAAAGGAACAACAACAACTTCAAAAACCAGATAACCACAATCAAATTGTTGAAAAGTCAAGTCCACAATTAGAAGGTAATAATACAAGTGCAAATACAGAAGGTCATCAATATTCAAAATTGTAAAAATTATTTTAACTTTAAAAAAACAAAAAAAAAAAAACAAAATCGATTAAATTTTATTTATTATTTTTTAATAATAAATACTATTTTAAAATTATATATTTTATTTATTTATTTATTATATAAAACCTATTGTTTTTTTAATTATATTAATAATATAATCATATTCTATCTACTTATAATTTAACTAACTTTATTTCTTTTTCTTTTTTCTATTTCTTTTCTAGATTTAAATATATAAATACGGATTAATAAACAATATAAATAAAGAATAATTTATTTTAAGTTTGCATAAATAACTACCCTCTTTCTTTTTTCTTTTTCTTCTTATTTCTTATTTCTTTTTTCCCTTTAAACTAAAGACTTGACAATCATTTTTATTGCCATTTTTTTACTTGTAAATAATAATAATAATAAATAAAAATTTAAAAAAATATTTTATAAATAGTAACAATGATAGTGGTTGCACCATATATTTTTATTATATAATTCTAATTTATTAATATCTGTTGAAACATGTTGTATTTAAATTAAAAGCTCACAAAATAACCGCTGCAATCCTTTAATGGAATCACCACATAGATGAAAATTCATAACGATTAATAATAATAATAATATAAAACAATTGGATTAAAAATAAATATTTATTTAAAGTTTTATTTACAATTTATTTATTTTATTTAAACTTTTATACAATTGGGTATGAAAATTTCTTAAAGTATGGTAGTAACAGTGGTGATCTAAAAATAAAAGACCTATTTAATTGGATACAGGGTACTTTTGATATTTTTAATGCTTTTGCTAATATTTCTAATGTTGAGGATGATATTTTATAGTCAGTTAAGGTGATTTTTAGTTGTTTAATGGTGCTGTTTTTAATTAAAATATTGGTAAGGTCAGATACATCGATAGCAATGTTCACAAATTTAAAAGTGTGGTTTATTAAAAGTTTTGATGTTGTAAAGCTGGTGTTGTGTAGTTTGATGTTGGTAATGGTTGGATGTTGTGATTCTATAAATTGGTCCACTTGTTCTTGCGATAGGGTCAGGCATTCAAGTAGATGGATTGTATTTAATGTGGTGTTCTTTGAAATTGAATCAAATAGTTTTGACCAATTATTTATATCACAAATTTGATTTTTTGGTGTTGGTTTTATTGATTTTATAACTAATTTTTCTAATGATGTGGTATTATCTATTAAATAAATTAAATAATTGAAATCTTTTGTTTGTGAACCATCATGAACTATACTAAGTAAATTATTTAATATTATTGGTGATTGTATTATTGGTTTGGTTAAATTTGGAGCATTTAGATATTTAATTGTTGTTGAAATTGGTAATATTGGTCTTGTTCCTTTTGAAGAAATAAATGAATATTCAATTAGGTTACTATTATCTTTTTGATTTAAATTTACAACTTCTATTTCATCATCTTCATCATTATTGGTTATTGTTATATTGTTATTGCTATTATTATTGTTATTATTATAATTAAAATTATTGTCAAAATTTGATTTGATATGTAATACTTTTAAAGATTTACATTGCTGTAATAGGTTTCTAATTAGCTGATATGGAACTTCATTAACCCTAAGATCTAAATATTCTAATATTTGACTATTTGATAAAATTTTAAATATATTTTCAACTTCTAAAGTATGGTTTGAGTTATCACTGTCTTTTTCAAAACTAAAATTTCTAATTGTAATTCTTTTTAATGATTCTAAATTATTTTCGATTAGTTTTGATAAAGCTTCTATTGGTTTTCTATTTATCATGGGATCATCAAAGTTATCTGCAAACACATTAGTTGATTGAGGATGAATAGTTGGGGAGCCAGTGTTACCATCTAGCGGAGGTGTTTGGGATTGTGATACTGTTGGGTCAAGTACTATTATATCTCTGAAATTAATTTCTTTAAATTTGTTTTTGCATTCAAACGGTAGGCGGAATCTATAGTCTGATAGTGATAGTCTTGTAATTGATGGATGAGATTCAATTGATTTGCATAGACCTTCGGTTTTAACTAGCCCAATTGTATTTGAATTTCTACTATAAAATGTAATATTTAAACTTTTTATTGTTGCCACTTGAAAAAGGAGTTTTCTTAATGCAGCCATTTCGTCTTGGTTATCAATTTTAATTGTTACATGTTGCAGATTTGAAAAAAAATAAGAAGTTTCATTAATCTTATTGATTACCAGTCTAAAATAGTCGTCAAACCCATAAGAGAGAAATCCTAAATGATAACAAAGCGGCGCATACCCACGAGTGTTGGGAGGTGACCTCCATAACAAAGATAGTGAGTCTGATTCGGCTTTTGCAATAATATTTTTGTGATAAATATCCGAAACTATAATTGAAAGTTTTTCCAATTCGATTTGATTATTGAATTCCATTAGTTCCTTACTTATACCAAATCTAATTATAGGCGGTATTAATGTTTCGTGACCAATGATATGATAAAAGGGATAGTCTAAAGAAGGTATTATATTCTTTGCCCATAATTTGCATACCAAAGATAGTCTTATAACTTTATCTATATTATTATCTTTATACTTCATAGAATACTGATTTGATAGTTGCCCAAGTTTATATCCTTCATATTCGTTTATGTCATATTTTCCTATAAGAAAATATTGTAATATTTTTTTAATTATTATATTTGATAATTTTATTTTATTTTTATTATTTTTATTTATAATATTATTATTGTTATTATTATCTCTATTCATTTATACAATATAATTTTAATGTTTTTATTTTTTTATTTTTTTATTGGTTTATATAAATTTGCTATTTAGGACACGTGTCGTAGATTTATCATATAATGACTAAGCAAAGTTATAACTTCAAAAATAATAAAATAAAAAATTTATAAAAAAAAATGAAAAATAAAAAAATGAAAAAAATTTAATTTTTTTTAAATTAATTTAATTTATTTAAAATCTTTAAAATTATTTTTATTTAAAAAGTTATTAATTTAGTAAAAATAGTAAAGAGAATAGAATTGACATTAAAAGACCAATATTTAAAGAAATAGTGGATGCACTACCTGGAGCAGGAGTACCGGCCATATAACAAGTTACATTGAAATTGGAATTTACTACAACAGCTTCGTTTTCTTTTTTACATACAAATGCATCGGATGAAATTGGAGTTCTTTCACAAGTATTATCGTCGTTTGAATAGAAATTAAATGTGTATCCATTTTCAACTAATGGTTGTGTTTGCTTTACAATTATTACATTACCACCACAAGTCTTTTTACAAACTTCGTTAATATTTATATTGACACCACCTACGCCGCATTGGGCTCCATTAGTACCAAAAACATGGAAATAGGACCAATTGTTTTCTGCCAATGCTGAATATACGCAATTAGAAATTAAAAAAACAATTAATATTAAACTTAATTTCATTATTATATAAACTTTAAATATTTATTTTTTATTATTAAAAAAAAAAAATAAACAAAAAGAGTATTTACTTTATTTATACCCAAAAAAAAAAAATATTAAAATTAATAATTAAAAAATATTATTTTTATTTCTACTATTTAATAAAATTCTAATATTTGAAATGCTTCAATTTACAAACTGAGGATAGTTATTGTTTAAAATAATAGCCCATAAAAAAACACCCTTATGTTTATTGAATTTGTTTTGTGTGTCATTATAATGAATGAAAAAAAATAAAAATAAAAAAATAAAAAAAAATAAATTTTATTTGCATATCCCCACACCTTTTCATTTATTGTAATTGTCATTGAAACCAATAATTGTTACTTGAATATTTGAGGAATTAGACACTATTATTTTTTATAGTTTTCATTTAAAAAATATTATTTTGGCTTTTTAATTGTTTGATTTATAAAATCTGATGTTTTATATTAAATTAAAATTATGTTTCTTTTTGATTTATTCGGATATTAATATGAAATGAAAAAATCTTAATAAATAAAAATTAAAAAAAATAAATAATTAAAAAAATAAAATTTTTTTTTTTTTTTTTTTTTTTTTCATACATTAACACATAAATTTTTTTTTTATTAAAATTTTCATTTATCAAAAAAATAAATAAAGGTCAATGGCTGATAGTATCGCTATTAGCCTCAAGGGTGTAACAAGAGGGTATGGTAAAACAAAAGTGATTGAAAATTTGGATCTTGAAATAAAGAAAGGTTCAATTAATTCTCTCATTGGGGCATCAGGTTCGGGAAAAACCACTATACTTAGGGTATGTTATAAATTTTTTTATTATTATATATTTATATATTCTAATATCATAAAAAATATAGACAATTTTGGGTAGATTAGTTCCCGATGAAGGAGAAGTTTTATTATTTGGTAGAAAACCTTTCGATAGTGGTTGTGACCATGGTAGATTAATAGGATATGCACCACAAGAGAATGCATTATATTTAGATTTATCAATAGATAATACATTGAAATTCTTTTCAAATATTCATAAAATGTCAAATGAAGACTATTTAAAAAGAAGAGATGAGTTGGTAAAGTTATTAGATTTACCACCAGTATCAAGAATTGTTGGTACTTTAAGTGGTGGTCAAAAAAGAAGAGTTTCATTGGCGGGTAAATTCATAAAAAAAAAAAAAGAAACCATTAAATTTTCTAAATACTTACCTTTTTTAAAATTTTTTTTTTTAAATATCTGAAATTATAGCTGCACTTTTACATTCACCTCAATTATTAATTTGTGATGAACCAACTGTTGGTGTTGATGTAAGTAAAGATTATTATTAATAAAATAAAATAAAAAAAGCTAACATTTTTTTTCAAAGGTTATGGTATCAAAAGGAATTTGGGATCACATGAATGAATTAGCAAAAAGTGGTGTTACCATCATTATTACAACCCATTATATAGAAGAGGCAAGACAATCAGATAAAGTTTTCTTATTAAGAAATGGAAAAATTTTAGAGAATGGACCACCACAGCATTTAATCGATAAATATGATTGTAGATCATTAGAAGAGGTATTTTTACAACTATGTAAAGCCGATGATACCGAGTCATTAAATTTAGTTAGAACAAAAAACAATTTGTTGCGATCAAGTGAATATCAAACTCCCCAGCAAATCATTAACAATGACGATTGTATTGAAGATATTATTATAGATTCAAACTACAGTATCAAAGAAAGCTCACCATTATTAGGTATTTCATCGAGTGGTTCTCAAAATTTCAATGGTGGTGCAGGTTCCCATGGATTTTTTTCAAATTTTTTAAAAAATATAAAACAAGCATTTGCAATTGGTAAAAGAAAATTCACTCAAATTTATAGAAATAAAGTTGTTTTAAGCTTTGAGTTATTGGTAAGTTTTGATATAATTCTGTGTTATATAGTCATCTATTTTATATTTAATATTAATTTATTTTTATTATTTTTCTAATAGTCCCCAACACTTCAAATTGTATTATACTTTTTAGCAATCGGTGGTACTCCAAAAAATTTAAATTTTGGGTTAGTAAATTTAGATACTGGATCAATTGGTTCACTCTATGTCAATAGTTTACAAGCCAGTGGTATTTTTAATTTCCATAATTATAATAATACAAACGATGCAATCGAGCAAATTAAAAATGGTAATTCATTTGGGTGTCTTTATATTCCAAACAACTTTACAATGTCGCTGATCGACAAGCTTAGTAACCCAGGAGGAGATGATCCAAATTGGCAAATTGGTTTGTATATGGATTATACAAACTATCAAATTACATTATTGGTAGAGCAGCAATTAGAACTATCATTCGAATCATTGGCAGAACAATTTAACATCACTTTAAATCCTATCCATATTGAACCTGCTGTGTATGGGGATCTCTCTGCAAAGTTTATTTGGTTTTTGGCTCCTGGGATGGTTGGTCTAATTACTTTTGCTCATTCAATAGCTATTACATCAGTTAGTTTTGTTCGGGAAAAAATAGATGGTAGTTTAGATCGTCTATTTAGCTATGGTGTTAAAACTGGCTCAATTGTATTCGGTCATTTCCTTGGTCATTTACCTCTTCTCTTAATTCAAATTACAGTACTACTACTCATTGCTATCTATGGTTTCAGTATACCAATCAAAGGAAATATTGTGCTGGTCTTCTTGATTACAGTAATATTGGCATTTGTTGGAATGAGTCTTGGTTTAATTATTAGTGCTGTCAGTACTGTAGAAACCGAGGCCATTCAACTTTCTTTGGGTGTTTACTTCCCTACCCTCATTTGCTCTGGTACTTTATGGCCTATCGAATCTATACCACGTTGGTTTGCTTGGTTTCCAAAAATACTTCCAGCCACTTGGGCCGCATCTGCTTTAAGAGATATCATGATTAAAGGTGTATCTTTAACTTATAAAGAAGTTTGGGTTTCATTATTAATTATTATAGCTTGGTTCATAGCATTGTTTACACTTTCTACAATGGTGTTAAACGAAAAAGATAAAAATTTTACTTTTTTTAAATCTAAAAAAAGAAATTAATAAACCTAATTTTAATAATATTTATTAAAATTTTAATTTATGATGGCAAAATTATATAATTTTTCTTTTTTAAAATCTTAAATTTTTTATTTATTTATTTTTTTATTTATATTTATATTTGGTAATTAGATAAAATTTTTATATGTTAATAAAAATTTAAAGTAATGCAAATAATAATGCAACTAATAAAAGGGCAACATTGCAGATAACTGATGAAGCACTACCAGTGGTTGTGGCGGTTGGTGTGACAGTTGGAGAGACGGTTGGATTTGAAGTTGGGGCTGGGGTACCTTGGGTGCTACAAGTGATCTTATAATCACCTACGGTTACTTCATTGGAACTACATGTAAATTGGGATCTATCACCAGCGGAGGTTGCACAAGCACTATCAGTGAACCATTGGATATTGTAAGTTGTTGTGGTTACTTTTGGATATGGGTTAGAGATTTTGAAATAACGTCCACAACCAGCAGTACATGGACCGTTGACAACACCATAGTAGACAATTCCTGAACATGCATTTGCAGCACTTCCTCCTGTAATATTGAAACCATTGTATGTAAATGTTGGGGTTGGTGTAGCGGTATCAATACATTGAGCTGTAAGACCATCAGAAAGTGAAACTGGACCATTTCCAGTAACACATGTAAGACTTTGTGGACCTGGAGCTGGACTATCAGCACAATTGGGTTGGGTGAATCTTGTGAATTCTGTACCGGCAGCATTAATTTTGAAATAGGCACCACAACCTGCTACACAGGTTCCATCAAACTTTACCTCTACACCAGCGGCATCACATCCAGTACCAGAGATAAAAGCTGAAGAATAATCGGCATTGGCTCTTGAAAGGAATATTAAGGCAACAAGTAATACTAAAACTCTCATTTTATTAATTTTTATTAGTTTTTTATAATATATTTAAATAAATGTATATAATTTAAATATTTTTTTTAAATAATGAAAATGAACAAATTTATTTATACCTTGGAAAAAAAAAAAAAAAAAATTAAAAAAAAAAATTAAAAATTAAATAAAATTAAATAAAAATGATTTAAATTACAAAATAATATAGCTACTACATTATAAATGCACTATTATTTTCAATATATTTTTTTATTCAAATCTTTACAAAAAGTTTTACAGACACCTATTATTGTAAAAATTGAAATTAAAAAATTAACACACATAAAAATACAAACTGAACACTCACATTTTTTAAAAAACATAAACAAAAAACTTAAATAATTTAAAAAATAAGACCCCCATTAAGTGTGAATATGTACAAAAAAATAATAAAACAATCGCCACTTTTCTATTTTTATTTTAAGAGGGAAAATAAATAAAAATAAAAATGAAAATGATTTTGATAATGATAGAAAAGAAAAATATATATTCTTGTGGGGGTGGGGGTTATGAATTAAGTTATTTAATACTTGAATAAAAATTTTTACTTTTTACCCCATATCATTCATATAATTTAATTTTTTTTTTTTTTTTTTAAAAATTTAATTTTTTTTTTTTTTTTGGAAACAGGGGTGTTTGGGGGAACTAAATGTGGAGAAATATTAATGATAGCTAGGGTGATAGAATGTGGTAACTATAGTGGAGTGATGTTGTCATGTGATATATAAATTTTTATATTATTGCAATTGATATAATTTATTTTTTTTATTATTGCAATTGATATAATTAATGTTTTTTTTTTTTTTAAATTTAATTTTTTTATATTTAATTTTTTAACCCCAACCACCAAAATTAAAAATAGCACAATGATAATTCTCTTTTTGTATCTATTTTTTTGAAAGGAGTTACAAACAATAGGAAGAAATGAGTGAAATTGATAGAATAAATTAAAAAACAATTAAGAAAAATTAAAAAAAAAATAAATTCAAATAAAATTTCTTTTCATTATTTATCAGGTTCTAAATATATTATTTTAATTGGTGTTTGTATTTAAAGTTAAATTTCCAATAGCCATTCCAATCTAAATCTTGATTGATTTTAATAGAATTGCATACGTAGTATTTTTTAATAAATAAAGAATGAATTTTAAGCGTGTGTTTGTTAACTACCTCAATTTTTTAAGTTGAATTTTTAATATTATATAAAAAATTGATGGTAAGTCAACTTAAAATTAAAAAAATAAAAAATAAAATAAAAACAAATAAATAATTGAATAATTAAATAATAAAATAATAAAACAATATTATAACTCTATTTTTTTTATTTATTATAGCTTAATAATATTATAGTCTTTAATTTATTTATTTATTTTCTAGATAAAAAATAAAAATAGTATAATTTATAAATATATATAAAAATTTATATTAATTTTAAATTTTTTTTTTTTTTTTTTTTTTATTTAGAGTAAAGCAGCAATTAAGGCGGCTAATACAACTGCGAAACTAGCAATAGTGGTAGAGGCTGAACTACTATCGTGTTTTTGTTCGACACAAGTGACTTGAACGGTATTGGTGTTTACTTTAACTGAAACTGGTTTATTAGCATCACAAAGGAAATTTCCAACAAATAAATTATTGGCAACAGCTTTACAGGCAGCATCTGAGAAACCGGTGATAGTGTAGTTATTTACATTGGATGCACTTTTAGTTGGGGCAATTGAATAAGAGTAAACAGTGTTTGATTGGGCACCACATTTTGAATTTGATGTACATGAACCATTGGCTGGGACATTAAAACCGCATTTTTGGGTAGTATCAGTAACGTTGAAACCAGTGAAAGCAGCTGATGAGAGAGCAAAGAAAGCAACAATTAAAAGAATTAAAGATTGAATAAATTTCATTTTTTTTTTTTTGTGTAGTGTGTTTAGATTATTAATATATTTGTTTGATAAGTTTAATAGACTTGTACAAAAAAAAATTTCTATTTATACGAATTATTTACAATTCACCAAAAAAATAAAAAAAAATAAAAATAATTAAATTAAATAAAATAATTTTTCTTTTTCAAAATTTAAAGTTTGTTGCAACATATACAATAAAAATATCATTCCAAAATTTTGTTTTTTAGACTTTAATTTAAGCCACCTAGATAAAAAAAAAAAAATTACTTTTTTTTTTACAAATATTATTAAAAAAAAATTAATTTGCTTATTTTTGTTTAGGTTGCATTTTGTTTGTTGTTGGAGGAAAAAAAAAAAAGTTAAAATTTAAAGAAATCAACCACGTCCATGTATGTAATCTTTTTTTTGAAATGATTTTTTTAATTTTTTTTATGATTTTTTTTTTTTTTTTTATAGGTCACGCAGTCAGTATTAAAGTCTTTTGGTAAATTAAAAACTCATCTAAAAAAATTATAAAGATAACTTATCTTAATAAATAATAAAAGATTGTTATATTATATTAATTTTTTTTTATTTATTTATTTATAATTTTTAATAAATATTTTGAAATATTTAAATCTAAATTATTTATAAAATTAATATTTGAATTAAAACATTGAATTTGTTGTAAATTTTTTGGTAGGGTTGAATATTTTAAAATTGGTGAAGCTTTACCTTGCAATACTAATATTTTTAAATTTTTTGGTAGAGAATTTTCATATGATAAATCTTGATTAAAAGAGCTTCCAAGAGATAAGAAAGTTAAACTGTCGGGTAAGAATTGAGGATTAAATGAATGGTTAAAATTTGAACCAAGTGTTAGACTTAACAATGTATCTGGCAATGCATTTTTTGGTATGACTTGAGTGTAATAATCACCTAGAGTTAATGAGGTTAAATTTTTTGGTAAAGAGTATGGTTGGAATGATACATTATAGTTATCATAAACTTTTAATATCTTTAAAGAAGGTGGTAGTGATTCGGGAAGAATGGCAATAGGTATAGTTGATGTACTAATTGAAAATTCCGAGATGTCTAAATGGGTTAGGCTTCTAGGTAATAAATGCATTGTTGAGTTGTAAAATTGACCAAATTTTAGCTTTGTAATTGAAAGGGGCCAGGAAATTGGAGGATAATCACCCATTGTTAATTCGGTTAGGGTGCTACTAAGAAAAGGTATTCTTTGAGAGTAGTTTTTATTGAAAGAAAGTGATCTAAGGTTTGGAGGCAACGAGTTTAGTCCCAATGGTAAATTAAATCTATTACCAAAATTAATTTTTGTGACACTTGGAGGAATTACATTTGGATGAATATGCTCATTAAAGTTTATAAACTCTAAAGTTTGGCAATATTTTGGTATATCTAAAAGATCTCTTGCTTTCATTACTTTATATTCTAATGTTGTACAATGGTCCAATACTTGATATATTATACCTGAATAGTTTAAATTAAAATACATATGGGTCACTGATTTAGGAATTGTATTATTTTGAATGTTTTGTTGAAAACTGTATCCAAATGATATCAATGTCAAACTGGGTGGAAGTAAACCAGGTAGTATAGGTTGGTTGTACAATGGACCGAATACTATAGTTTTCAGACCCTTGGGGAAAGCGCCCACTGGTATGACTCTATTAAAATTGTTAAACTCGATATGGGTTAATGAACTAGGAAGCATTCTTTCGATTTTATAGTGTTTACATATCCTTGTTGTTATACTTTCTATTAATAGCTTTTCCAAGTTTGACGGTAAACTATATTTGAATAGTTTATTAATTTCACCAGTATTGTGGTTATTAAAATAGGTGTCATCATCTTCAAAAATTTCGTATTCATCATATTCATCATCTTCATTTTCCTCTATTTCTGTGGTACCATTGTTTTCGATTTCGAGAGTTGTATTATGGTCTAAAATTGATAAACTTGATATAAAATTTTTAAACCTATATCTTGATAGATCTTTCATATTTTTGAAATTAAATTTTTTGTTATAGTGAATATTATACAGTCGTAGTGATGATAAAATTTCTTCTCTTAAAACTGAGTTTCTCCATATTTTAAAAAACAATATTGTATTTTGATTATTATTATAATCTATTATCGATTTATTATTTCTGTCACTGTTATTAACATTTATATTTTTTTTATTATTTTCAATTATAATATATAAGCTATAATGTATTTTTAAATTATTAAACTTTAAATGATTTAAACTATTAATTATTTCACAATTATTATTACAAGTACTGTCATTATTACTATTATTGTTATTACAACTATTTATTAAATAATATTCTTCTAATTTTTTAAAATCCTTAATTAAATTTTTAAACTGTATATTATTTAAACCACATATATTCGACTCTATTGTAAAATAGTTTTTATTATTATTTCTATATAAAAAAAATAAATAATTTATTAGTTTAAATATATCTATTTTTTTTATTTTTTTTATTTTTACATTAATTTCTTTAGTTGTAAATAATCTATATAAAACTGATTTATCGATAATATTAATAAGTTGTTTATAAAACTATCGATAAAAGGTACTTCATTTTCATTTTCAAGTACAAAAGATACAATGTTTCTATCCATTACACAAAAAAAAAAAAAATGGATATTTTTAAAAATTTAATTAATTTATAAAAAAATTAATAAAAAAAAAAAATAAAAAAAATTAAAAAATATAAAAAAAAAAAATTATTTTTTATTACAACACACATACATTTTCTTCATTTATTGAATCTTCTTTATCTTGATTGGGTTTGTAAAAGTGTTTATAAAAGATAATATCTTATAAACTAATATATAATTTTTATTTATATTTAGTACAAATTACAGTTTAATTTGATTATTAATAAAATAGGACAATCGTTAGAATACAGTTCCATACAAAAAAATAATAATCAAGATCTAACCAAACTAAAAAAAAAAAGTTAACAAAACAATAAGTAAATATAAAAACAAAGGTTTATGAGATTTCTTTTATTATTTTTATTTTTAAAATTTTTAAAAATAGTTTTTTTTATTATTTTATTTTATATTTTTTAAAGATATTTATTTTATTATTTTAATTATTTATAGCGTTGATTTGGAATTTACTTCCTATTGGTAAATTAATTGGTGAGGTTGTTAAAGAAACATTATCGAATACACCATCTGAAAATAATGTAAAACTGAATTGACCATTATTAGATACCATATTTACTGAAATTAAAGTTGAGTTCCAAGCAATATCAAAAGTTGAGCTATAGTAATTTAGTGATCTAATTTTAAGTGATGTAACTCCATATGGTAATTGAGGATAGAATGTAAGATAATTTGGATGGATTCTAAGACCTCCAAAACCATTAATAACACCTTGAAGGAAACCTCCTGCACCTGTAATAAAATTAGTTGTACCACCACTAAAAATAAAAATTATTATTAATATGGTTTAAAATTTATTATGATAAAATTAAAGTTTGGATTACTTACGTTGGAGTTTCGGTCCAAACTAAAAATGGTTTTTGAGCATTTGCATATGCTTTTGCCCATTCTTTTTGAGCATTTACTAAATCACCAAGCTCCAACCAACCAACAGTATGCATAGAATAGGTCATAGCTGGGCCTTTTGATGTAGTTTTTGATTGATAATATATTAAATCGTTTGTACGTACTTGTTGAGACATATTATACATTAATGGATAACCTAAAAGAACGACATCGGCTTGTTTAATAGTTTCACCACTGTAACCGTCATATTCTGGATGCCATTGTAATTCTTCGTCAAAAAGAACAACCATGTTATCAGCAATGTTTTGCCATTCTTCAACTGGAGCACTTGTATCGCCAACAATAGATGCAGCTTCGATAGCCCATTTTAATGCCATGCTTACTACAACATTGGTATAAACTGAATCATCTACGCCAACTGCATATTCATCAGGTGGAATGATTGTATTAATTGAAAAAGTACCATTTGGATTTGCAACTACTCTACTAGCCCAAAACTCTGCTATTCCTTTGACTGTTTGATAACCAGTTTGGGATAACCATTCTACATCACCAGTTGCATAGAAATATTGTCTAAAAGCAAGAGAAATATCAGCAGTGATATGCTCTTCAAGAACACCAGTAGGAGCATCCAATGGACATGCTTCAGCACCAGTAAATGCTGACTCCCATGGATACATTAAACCGGTTACATTTGGATATACAAGTCTATAAGTTAAGGCCTTGAGATGAGCTTCTTTCATATTATTTACTCTGTATTGTAAGATAGCACCTTTTGCAATTTCTGGTTGTAAAACAATTAGATTTGGATACATCCAAGTTTCGGTATCCCAAAATCCGTGACCATGATAACCATTTGATGACAAACTACCTGGAGATAAACCGAATGGCCAGTCAGCTCTAACCGATGATAAAATATAGTAAAGTGAAGTATTGACTATTTGAGCAAGAGGTAAATTGCCACCAATCTCGATACCTGAATCCCAAACTTGAGCCCATGAATCTTTATGAATATCTAATAAATCCTCTTGAGAGCCTACACCCTTTACATACATTTGACTGCATAAATCTACATAATCACTAGACTCGATATTTGTGTATAATGAAGTGATGAAATAAAAAGTTTTAACTGTATTGGCTGGAACGATAGTTTGCGATGGTACACCAGATGTGGCAATTGCTACTGATGTCATAAAACCATTTGGTAACTCTGGTGTTAGAATTGTAGCAACATAAGTTTGAAAACTAGAGCTGTGTGTAGTTGTGTTTTGAATTTTAAAATCTGGTGTACTTAAAGTGGAATTTAGATGGAGTGTTAAAGTAAAAGATTTATTTGAAGCACTATTATCAACAGTAATTTCTTGAACTAATAGATTTCTAATGGTTTGGTGTGCATAAAAAGTTTGAGTTGCAGTTGTATTTGCATTTGACTTGAATGAATATTCTCTTGTGTAAGTTCCATTTTGAATATCTAAACCAGCATACACTAATCTTGAACCATTTAAAACAATATTTTGAAAATTTGGAATTGATGCCCTGTGTGATGGATTTGAAACTGCGAATGCAGGACCATTAAAAACCCCACCTATATAAATTGAGTTGGTACCAATGACATAAGCTGCATAACCATTACCAACACTGGTCATCAAATAAGCTGCTGGTTCGACATTAGATGATATTAAATTACCTGTTTTAACTCTATTTGTCCACCATGCTGGTTGTGATGATATCTTTTTTTTTTTAAAAAAAAATTTAAAAAAATTCAAAAAAATTAATTTTTTTATTCCACAAAACAATTTTATTAAATAATTAAAAACAATAAAGTAAACAATATACGAACCTTTGAAACAAACAACAAACTTACTAAAATAAATAAATAAAATATGAGATATTTCATTTTTCTATGGTTGTCTTTCCTAAGATGAATTAAAAATGATTACATTTGAAAAAAAAAAAAAAAAATAGATTTTTCGGATACACTGGTATTAAAAATTAAAAAAAAAAAAAAAAAAAATTAAAAAAATAAATTTAATCATATTTCCCAAATAAAATATCTTTTTTGTAAATTTTAAAAGAAAAAATTCAATTTGGGGTAAATATGATTTTAGACATTTGATTATATGAGCAAAAAAAAAAATAAAAATAACTTTGCTAGTTTATATGAATTTATTTTTTCTTTTTTTAATAATATATAAAATCGTAATATTTATTATACAACTGTAATTATTAATAATATTTTATATCTAAACTGCCATTTGAGCAACCTTTTGTTCCTTTTCTTTCTGTTCTTTTTGTTCTAAATAAAAAAATAAATATTAGTATAAGATTGGGTTTTTAAAAATATCACCATAGATGTTTACTTTGTTTACCTTCTTCAATAGCATGTTCAATTGGTACCTCAATTTTAGGTTTTTCTTCTGGTATTTTTGGAAATTGGGGTTCTGTTAACTAATTTTATAAAATGAAAAATGTTAATAAAAGAACAAATACCTAGAAATATAATGTTATGTATATTTACTTGTTTTTCCATTTGATCTAATTCTTCTAAAAGAGCATCCTCCTCTTCTTGGCTGAATTTACCACTTAAAGCTTCTGAAATATCATTTTGGTATTGAATAGCCTCTTCTGTTTCAGACATTAAGTTTTCAACATCCTCGAGAGACATTTCTTTTTGAATATCTTTAAGAGCCTCATTACCTTGTTTAAGGCTTTCAAAGATTCTATTTTGAATTTCAGCTTGTTCTATATTTGAAATAAGTTCCTCTATATTTTGTAAATTTGCAAATGAATCCTCTAACAATTTCTCTTGATATTTCTTTTTTTTTAATGCTAATAATGCTTGATTCTTTTTACCTTGTTTTGCACATTCTTTTGCTATAGTAACCTCTCTTTGAATAATAACATTTAACTAATTTTAAAAAGAAAACATCATTGTTAATAAACATTCATTTGTATATTGTATAAATTATAGTAACCTAATGACCGATATTACTTGTGTTTGATAATTTTTTAATTTATCTCTTTGTATTTTTAAATTTAAAACTGCTTTATCTGTTTTACTAATTTTACCATCATCTCGATTTCCTGAACAATGTGAAAATAGTATACCCATTTCTTTTATTTATGTATATATATTATATTGTGTATTATTATTATTATATTATTTTTTTGTGTGTTATTTTAGAATATATAATAAACTATATAGGTAAACTAAAGAATGTACTTTATTATAAGCACACCCTATTATATTTTATTAAGAAATAAAAATATTATGTAATTCTATAAATTATTATTATTATTTTATAAATAATAAATAAAATCTATTATTTTTTAATTTTTTTTAAAATATTTTTTTTTAATTTTTATTTTTTTTTTATTTTTTTTTAATTTTATTTTTTTTTAAATATTTAAGTTTTTATGTTGGAAAATAATATATGATTTAATTAATGAAATTTAAATACTCATCACCTTTAAATTTAATAATTGATACATTTATAATTAAAAGAATTAAATTTATATCTACCAAAAAATGGATAACAACAAACTTAATTTTTTAATTTCCTAAAATAAACCAATAATAAAATAACTTTAATAATTAATAAAAACCCTTTTTTTATGGCTTTATTCAAACCAATAAATACTAATTTTAGTTATTTTGGGTTTATGAGTGTGTTTATTTTTATTTGATTTTTATTCAATGAATTTAAAAAAAAAAAAAAAAGATTTTTTTTTTTTATAAATTCCAAAAATTTTTTTTATTTTTCATTAAATATTTTTAAAAATAAAACTTCCTTTAATTAAAATATATATATTTAAATATAATAAATAAAAATACAATAATGTCACAACCATATACTTTACAAAAACCATCTATTGAAGTAGCTTTGGAAGAACAGATTGACCAATTATATAAAAGGAAATTGGCAAGATTACCAGTTTTCAAAGATTTACCTCGTCTAGCAGGCAGAATTCATATCGAAAAATATAATGATACTGGGATACCAAAAACAATAGACGAACCAAGCAAAAAAAGAAAAAGCAAAGCATTATCATTGAGATTATCAGAAGACATTACAACAGAAGGTAAATTAGATGAAGATAAAATCGAACTACAAGACGAAACTCCAGCTTCAAAAATTTGGAAACAAGTAAAGAATGTTATTTTTACATTATCAGAAATGTTTGATGATGAAGAAACTCAAAATAAAATTAAACAAACTTTTAATAGCTCAGAGCCACCATCAGATTATCAATTATCACTTCCAACACTATTTAGCAGTGTAAGTAAAATTAAACCCCCAACTATTTTTATGAATAAAAAACTAATATAACTTTCTTTTAATTTTCAGTGTATGAACGAAGATACAAGTAAAGTGGTTAAAGTTTTAAAACTTATTCACCAAAATATTATATATATTGGCTGTTATGAATTAAAGCTTCGTGTTCCTTATTTATTAGCAAATATGACCAAAGATGTCAGAGGTGAATTAGGTTGGAGGATTGAAGTGTTTGAAGGTAAAGATACAGTCACTGTTACACATATCAGAAGAGAAGAATCATTACCAACAGCAGGCGAAAAAAAGCAATTTCAATTAGAGTGGAAACTACATATTGTATTAAATAAAGATTTATCAGAAATCACTTTTGCAAGTTTAAAAATAACCGATCTTATTTTCCCAAATGATGTAGACCCTCAATTTAAGCAAGAAATCAACAGAAATTTATGTTCTGGTAATTTATTTATTTATTAAAAAAAAAAAAAAAAATCACAATAAATTGTATTAAAAATATTACTATTGTAAAATAAAAAAAATCATAGTGTTTATATTTATATTTTTGTTTATACCCTTTTTCTATTATAATCACAAAAATAAAAAAACCAGGATGCGTCCCCCAAAATAAAAATTAAAAAAATTTTACGAAATTGAGGAAAAATATATTTTTTTTTGTACATATAAAATAAAGTTTATTATTTTATTTAATTTTTTCTTGATTTTATTTTTGATCTATACATTGTTTGAGATAAGCTTGTTTAATTCTTAATTCTTTTTTGTTTCTTTTTTTTTTTCCTTTTTTTATATATTAAAAAAAACTCAGTAATTTAATTTTGGGTAATAAAAAAAAATTTTAAACTATATTATTATATTATTATTATTTAAATTTATGGTTGGTATGATGGTGGTTGTGGTTGATATGGTTGTGGTTGGTATGGTTGTTGATAGTATTGTTGTTGTTGTGGTGAAATTGGTTGTTGAGCATAGTATGGTTGTGGTTGGTATGGAGCATAGTGTTGTGAACCTGCTTGATATACAACTGGGGCTGGAGCAACAATAACAGTTGTATGATCGTGGTGTTTATTATTATAATGACGAACAAGACTTGGAAGTAAAAAGATATCAACTAACCAGCCAATACCGAAAACTATAAAAAAAAAAAAAAAAATAGGAATGGTTAGAAAGTCTTTATTTTATAATATTGATTTTAATAGTGTTTTTTAAATACATACTACCACCAGTAAAGAGGTAAACAATACCTGAAATAGTACGACCAAGGTAGAATCTGTGAATACCAAGAAGACCTATGAGAATGTAAAAAAAATTAAAATATTAATATAAATTTAATTTTTTTTTTTTTTTTTTTTATCCTGCTAGAAAATACGTACCTAAAAAGAACCAAAGAATATAGGCAACCAATAAAGAGGCATGGTGATGATGGTGATGATGACTCATTTTTATAATCTATATTTTAATTTGTATTTATAATACTATATTTTATTTATATTGTTAATGTTTTTATTATTATTATTATACTAAAATATAATATATTTTATATTCTGTGTTTATATATAAATAAAATTTAATTTAATAATAAAAAGTAAAAAATAAAAAAAAACTAAAAAACTAAAAAAATTTTAAAAAAAAAATAAATAAAAAAATAAAAATAATTTAAAAAAAAATATTTTTAAAAATTTAAAAAATTTAATTTTTCAAGAGAAATTTTTTTTAATTATAATTTTTATATATTTTTATTTGGATCTATAAAAAAGTTTTTATATACATATAAAAATTAATAATTAAATAATCTGCTAAAAAATATTTAATAAATTATTGTATGTGAAAAAAAAAAAACAATAAATTAAATTATTAAAAAAAATTAAAAAATAAATTTCAATTTAAAATTATTTGGAAAAATAGTGTGTGTTTTCATCTATGTTTGACACTTATATAATAATTTGTGGGTGGGTGTGATAAAACAGAGTTTTTTTTTTTTTTTTTAAATTATTGTAATGGTTTATAATACGTGTTTATAAAAAAAAAAAAATATGAGTTTATTTGTGCTTATTTATATACATTATTATTTATTATTTATTATTTATGGTTTTTTTAATAGTTGAGATAAGTTATTTATAATTTTTAAATCTGATAGAGGTAAGTCTTTTCCTTTTTCATATTTATCAAATGATGGGGTTTCGTTTGATCTATTTATAAGACATGGAACAAAACCATATTGAAAACTTCCAACACAATCTTTTCCAACACTGTCACCTACATACATAATTTCATCTTTTTTAAGTGATGGATCGTCGAGAGAAGCCAACAGTTTTTGATAGGAAAAATCGAATATTTGAGGACTGGGCTTTTGGTAACCTGATTCAATGGATGTGGTAATAAAATCATATCTTTTATTTGGGAATAAATAATGTTGCTTTTCTAATGTTGACAATTGCTCTACCCTGTTGATTTGGTCATCAGTTAGTTTAAAGTACTTTATTAAATCTAGACTCTTTAAAATGGTGTGTAACCTTTCGTCAAAATTGCTAATGACTGATAGATGAATACCATTTTCTTTTAATTTGTCTAATGTTGGAATAACTTCGTCGTAAACCTCCCAAAATTCATGTTCGTTTGCTTTTGTAATTAACTTTGATGAGTTTCTGTTGGTTCCAAAACAATCATATAACTCTTTATATGCCTCGTTGGGTATATTTTCAATTTGATTCTTTGATAGATTGGTTGATGAGGTTTCAACTAATGATTTCATTAAATGCTGCCACCATTTAAATCCACATATTTCATTACCATCTTTATCATAATAAAATTTACCATCATTGTTCAATTTTGCATAACCATAACTTGGATATTCTTTTGACAAATTTGAAAATATTTTTAAAAAGTTTTTATTTAATTTTTCTGAATTTAATTTAATTCCATATTTTGTAAATATTTTTTCCTTTTTTTTTTTTCAAATAAACAAATATTAGTATTAAAAACCCCATTATAATAACAATAATATTATAATAAATAATACAAACATAGTTACTTCCAACACTACCTCTAACTTTAAATAAGGTTCCAGTTGCATCAAATGTGATTGCTTTTATTTTATTCATTTAAATTGAAGTTAACCAATTAATATAAAAAAATAAAAAATTAAACAAAATTTTTTTTAATTTTTAAATTATTTTTTTGTTTTTTTTATTATTTTTTTTTAATTTTTTTTTTATTTTTAATTTTTTTTTTATCTTTATTTATAGTAATTATCAGAATGACAACACCAACATCAAATTATATGTCACCACCAAGCACAAGTGGGGCTCAAATAGAGAGTTCTATTCAATTTAATATGGAAGAATATCAAATGTTTCCATTGGTTTTAGATATAATCTCAAGAATTAAAGATGATGAAATTGATTTAATTAGAGCAATCAATTTAACAAATGATAGAAAACAAAAAGCAATTAATAATTTTAAAAAATTACCAGGAATAAATAGATCATTGGAAGAACAGGAAAAATTATTAAAACAACATAAACAAACATTACAGAAAAAAGTGTAAGTTTAATAAATAAAAAAGAAATCTATTACCAAGTAATTTTTCTTACACATTATTATTTTATACCAGCGAACTTTTAGAAAAATTAAAAAAACTAGAATTATTCCAAAAATATAAAGTTGAAACAAATCAAGATTCAGAAATGAAAGATAACAATACTGAAAATAACACTGAAAATATTACTGAAGTTAATAAAAACAATAATGAACAAAAAATTGAAGAAACAGAAGAAGAAACATTACAACAGGACGATGACAATAAACAGGATACAAAAGAAGATGAAGATGTTGAAAATAAAGAAGATGAAGAAGATGAAGAAGATGAAGATATTATGAAAGAATAAAATAGTAATCATAATACTTTAATACATAAAATAAATAAAAATAATTTCTTTCAAAACAAATAAATCTTTTTTATTTTATTAAAAAAAATAATCAAATTATATAAAACTATATTATATTTCTTATTTATTTATTTAATTAAATATTGGTTCGCTTATACAATTAATAAATAAATGAATTTCGTTTTTATAATTAACTTTAGGTGTTGAGATCCCACTAAAATAAATATTCTTTCCTACTAATTGATTTAATTGTTCTTGGTATTGTTGAGCATATCCATGTTCGATTGGGAAATTTAATATGTTTCTGCAATAGTTGCTGTCAATCTAGTGATAAAGTATTAGAATAATGTTTTTAATTAAATAGGGTTATATTATTAAAAAGAGTACTTACTTTTAATATTACAATGGTTTCATCGTCTTCGTTGTTATCATCTTCATTAAACTCTATTATATTATTATTGCTGTCATAATTAAACAATTTGATTCTTAATTTTAATTTTACCAATAACAAACTATTTACTATTGATCTACAGTTGGAGCAAAATAATTTTTCGGTGGTATAGTGGTTGTTTTCAATTAGATGTTCTGCTGGAAAAGGTGAGACTGGTGAATGACATTGTTTACAACCACGATATACGATGTTGTCTCTTTTGCAATCTATAACTTTACCTTTGAAATTCAAAATGAACTGGTATTGATAGTAAAGCCTAAATATATTTTCATTTAAATTTTTATTTGATAATGGTATAAAATCTTTTATATGCTTCAAAATTTTAGTTGATTTCATTTGTGTTGTTTCGTCATTGGAAGAGTCGTAAATTTGAATTTGTTGTTGATTAACTGCCATATCAGTATCAGCGTTACTGCTGCTTTGTTCGATTTCAATGTGCGAGAACTTGTCTACTAATAATATTGGTTTCCATTTGTAAGGGAATTCGATAGAGCAATCGTTGGCCACTATAAAATCACCAATTTTTATGTTGTCTAAAATATCTGATCTATAGTCCTGAAATTTAATACCTATATTGTGTTGTGGCTCACTTGATTCTTCCATAGAGTCTACGAGGTAGATTGAAATAATGTTTTTGTTTTTCTTTCTATCATCAATAAAGATTACTCTACCTTTTAAGGAAATTCTTTGATAATAGTCAAGTTCGCTGTCATAGGTTACCAGGCTTTTGGCTAGTGCATCAAATACTTCACCGATGGTTCCGATTTTATTTGGTAAATAATGATATGTAAATGTTTGATTTTGGGTAGATCTTGTATAGCAGACACTTGTTGGTGATACTCTAAATGTAGAAATACTAAAGCTATCTCTTTGATCAGATACAAAGTTTGGATAGTATCTATAAAAGAAAGAGCCAAAGAATGAGTATTTACTTTCACTCTTTACAGAGATGAATAGTAAATCAGTGATAACAATTTCCTTTAAGAAGCTATCGCTTGTGAATACTCCACTCCATTGATCAATAAGTTGATGGGGTATTTCGATTTCGACCATTAAACCATTTTGATTACCTGCATAGACTGTATAATTTGGATCTCTTGATGTAGGTTTGATAACTTTAAAAAATATTAAATGTAATTTGATATTAACTGAGTTTTGAGAGATCTTTTCTAATTCTGTAGTTTCATTATTTAATATTAAATAGTCAATGGATTCATCTGGATTATTGGCGTCTACTTTTTTGGTATTTGAATGGCTTGTTTCATTTTTTTTTAAGATTTGCGATTTCAATAAATCTGATTGTGGTTGTTTAATTAAAAGTATTTCTAATGCGCTTGATAATTTATCTTCATCAGATAACAATGAGTCTTGACCATCTACAACAGTAGTGGATGTTGTATTTGAATGTGATATATGTGAAAGAATTGTAATAGATTTGTCACTCTGAACTAGTTGCCAATATTCGACAGTAACATGACTACCCAATTTTAATTTTAATTCTGTTTTTGCGGTCATCGGGAATAAAACTGTGATGAATTTGGTTGTGGTAGTATTATCTTCATTATTATCTACCCAATTGGTACATTTACAAATTGTAACATAAACATGTGGTTGCAATAGTGATGGTAATTCAGTGATTATAACATTTAGATCCCTCTTGAAATGATTTGGTAATGTTGACTTTGCATTAATAGTGATATTTGACTTTCTCGAATAAATATCCATACAATATTGTTTCTTATTTAATGCTTTTGATAATTTCTCTACTAGGCCTCCTCTCACATGATTTTTATTTAGTTTTAACTGTTTGGTTGGTGTTGAATGAGTGCTTGTATTGTGGTCAGTGGGGTTAGTATTCTTTGACATAAGGTTTCCCAACCATTTGTTATTTTTTAAGCTACTATCAAATTGTGATTTATTTGGAGTCTGTTGAATACCCGATTGATAGTCATTTGTAATAATTTCGTCTTCATCACTATCAGTGTTTATTATATCATCTTCATCATCTACTTTGATTTCATCTTTTAATAGTTGTGATTGCTTAGTAAGTTTAAATATATTTGTTGGAGGTTGTTGTTTAGTTGACAAAGGCTTGGGTGGTGTTATTGGTTTGTTTTTTTCGCTATCAATACTATCATTGTTGTTACTATCATCGTCTTCAATCTCTTCGTTAACATATTTGTATTTGGATGAATTTGGTGATCTTCGCACAGAGTCTTTGAATGTTGGAGGGGTTGGAGAATAGCTGACCTTATCATCGTCTACAATTTTGTCTTGTGTGGGGTTGGCATGGCTAATGTCATCAACAATACTATCGTTTCTTAATATGGCTTTGTGGTAGTCATCATCATTTTTAATATCTTCAATTTGATCAATACCACTTTTAGAAAAATCATTGTCATCTTCTATGACTTCTCCCCAATCAAAACCTTTTGAAGATAGGTGGCTGCTGCTTCTAATTATTGTTGTATTGGCTGGTTTTTTTGATTGTGTTTGAGTTAGTGGTGCTGATCCTACAACTGCTGTGGTGGCTTTATATGATGATGGTTGGGTATTTGAAAATTGTGATAATGAGCTATTATATTGTTGGGTTCCACCGTTATAATCATTAAAATAGTCACCATTATAGTTATTTGATGATACTACCTTTTGAGTTGCTTCAATAGAGTCTGAATAGTCTAAAGAGCTGCTATATGTGTTATTATTATTATTATTATTATACGAATATTTGTTTTGAGATAAATCTTTATACATGTTGCCAAAATGTTTTTTATCTTCTTTAAAACTATCAGATCTCTTTGAGAGAAATGGGTAAACTATATTTTGTTGTTGTTGTTGTTGTTGTATTTGCTGTTGATTTGATTTTTTTTGATTTTGTTTATTTGTAATTAACAGTTTTGGTTTTGGTTTTGGCTTAATTTGATTATCAGTAAAAAGTACTTGGTTTGTATTGGGTTTAAGTAAACTGGCATCTTGGGTTGGTTTTAATGAGGGTGTAATGGTTGATTGTGTATGAAATATATCGTCATCATCATCAATTTCTTCGTGGGTATTATCATTGTTTTGGGAAAATATATTATAATCCTTTCTTTTTTTTGGAGAGTTTTTAAAAGGTGAATTTGGTTTAGTTGGACTTACATGATAGTTTTTAATTGTGTTGTTATATGCTGTATGTTGTGGTTGCGGTTGCGGTTGTTGTTGGTAAAAATGAGGTTGAGGAGTATTTTTAATTGGACTTTTTTGAGGAAAATTAGTTGGTTTTTGATAAATTTGTGGTTCTTGGAATGGATTGTCATTGTTTTTTGTATATTCAAATTGTAATGGTTGTGCTTTATTAAAATTTTGTCTTTGTGGTGTTTGTTTTTGTGGAGTGGTCTCAAACTCTAGTTTCGGTGCTCTTGTGTAATTTACATGTTGGCTGTTGCTTTGTTGATAGTTATTTATTGTTGAGGGTTGTTGCTGTATATTATTAGAATCATTAAATTGTAATACCCTAACCCCATGACGATTGTTATTTGTTGTTTTAGATACAGCATCATCATCAAAAATATCATCATTAATTTTGTTTGTCCCTAAAAGTTTTTAAAGAGTTGTTAATAGGTTTGGGAGTTTAAAAGAAATTCTTATAAAAAATTAATAATAATTTATTATTTAAAGCTTACCAAAACTATTTTTTTTAAAAGGTGATGTAAATTGATTTGGTGGGTTTGATTGGCTAGATAGGTTGTTATTTTTAAAAGGTGATTTTAATTTGGCTTTAAATCCCCCATCTGTAATTGGTTGAGGTTTCGATGAATATTGATTCCAATTTATACCTGAATCTTTTTTAAAAGGTGATTTTATATTATTTACATTATTATTATTATTATTATTGTTATTTACAGTTGTTTTTAAACCAAAGATATCATCATCATTATTGTTATTATTATTGTTATTATTACTATACATGTTGTTGTTATATGTGGGTTTAAATGGAGAGTTGGAAACTATACTATGTTTTGGTTGTATATTATTATTTCTGGTTGATTCAAACTGAATATTATCATCTTCTATATTTTCTATGGAATATTTATTTGCTTTGGCTAATTCATTATCTTGTATATCGATATCTTCATTTGTAATGCTGTCTTGTTCCAATATCTTATTTTCGTCAAAATCAAATGACTCTCTTAATGTTTTCTTGCTCTGTTGTTGAGGGGATGTAACAATTGGCTTTTTATATATATTGTTGTGATTATTACTATTATTATTATTATTAAAGTTATTGTTAATGAAATTATTATTATTGTTTGAATTTTTTAAATTATTATTTTTATTTCTTGTTTGTTGTTGCGAATTACTATATTCATAATCTAAATCTTTATATTTTTCATCGTAATTTGGTAACTCAAAATCATCATTACTATTATTGATTTTTTTATTATTTGATTTCATTTGAATTTATTAAAATAGCTATTTAATTTATAAAAAAAAAAAAAAAATTTATTTTTTTAATTTTTTAAAATTTTTTTTTTTTTTTTTTCATTTTTTAAAATTTTTTTTCTCATATTTGTGTTTTTTAATTTAATTTATTTATTTCCTATAAAAATTTTGTGTGGTTTCATAGCAAATAAATAATGATTTTTTTTTCTTACTCCAAAGCATAAAATTTAGTTTTTTATAAGGATAACATTAAATAATTGTTTAAAGTTTTTTTTTTAATATTGCCATATGGTATACCTTTTATAGAATTTAAAAATTAAAAAAAAATTTCTAATAAAGGAAATTATTTCAAAAATTAAAAAATTAAATAAAAATTAAATTAAATTATAAAATAATAAAATAATAAAAAAAAAAAAATAAAAAAAAAAAAAGAAAAATGGTAAAATTAAATAGAAATTCAATAAAACTAAAATATTTCAAATAAAATCAATAAATTTAATTTTTTTTAATTTTAAATGAAATCTATAATTATTTTAAAGATTTTTAAAACATAATTATTTTATTTTATTTTTTTAATTTTTTTTTTTTTTTAATAAATATAATTATAATAACAATAAATATTTTTTTTATTAATAATTAAATCAAAATCTATAAAGATAACAAATAAATAATAATTTTTAAATTATATACTTATTATCTTTAACACACAATCCAAAATGTCATTAAATTTATTAACCAGTATTGCTGTTGATGAGTTACCACCAAAATTAGAGGAGATGGTAACAGTCAAAAACACAGACTCTATACCAACAGTATTTAAAGTAACTTTAGAAATAATTTTAAAAAAAAAAAAAAAAAAAAGAAATACTAATTTTTTTTTTTTTTTTAATAATTTATAGACATTATCCAAACATGGTATCTTATCAGTTCCAGTTTTAAATGAACAAAATAGACCAATAGGTCTTGTAGATTATGTAGATATTGTAAATTGTGTTGTACAAATTATAAATCATACAGATCTTTTAGGAAACGATTATTATTCATTTTTGGAAAGAGAAGATCTTTTTAATCATACATATGCCTCATATGTTACTGGTAAATAATAAATCATATATAAACAGCTTTTCGATTATTATTTAAAAGATTGTTAATAATTTTATTTTATTATAGATTTATCACAAAGAAATCCATTTATTCCAGTTGTAAAGGGTGCATCATTATTAGAAGCAATTACAATCATGACCAAAAATAAAATTAATAGAGTCCCAGTCATTGACAATAATTTAAATGGTGATGGTGCCGCTATTGTAAATCTTATTACTCAATCAGCAATTCTTTCATACATTGGTAAAAACATCGAATCTCTTGGTAAATGGGCACTCAAACCAATTAAAGAACTAGGTTTCAAAGAGAAAAAAGTTATTTCGATTGATTTCAATAAAAGAGCTTTAGATGCTTTTGAATTAATGGCAAGTCATGTAAGTATTATTATTCCTATAATAATATAATAGTAATGTTATTATAGCATATTAATTTATATTTTTTAAAGAGAGTTAATGGTGTAGCAGTAAACGATGAAAAAGGTCACATCATTGCAAATATTAGTGCTAGAGACTTAAAAGAATTATTAAATGAAACAAGAGTTTTTGAAAATCTTTATCTTTCAGTAGGTGAATTTATTTCAAAGGTAAGACAACAAGATTATAAAGCCGTTAATCCAAGTATATCATGCCATATGAATGACTCACTAGCAAGCATCATTACAAGAATGGTTGCAGCTAAAATTCACCGTGTTTATATTATAGACGAAGAAAGAAAACCAATAGGAGTCATCAGTATTCACGATATTTTGAATAAAATTTTAGAACATATTAATAATCTTACAATTAAACCAATGCAATAAATTTTTTACTTTATAAAATATTAAAAAAAAAAACATTTTTAAATAAAAAAAAAAATAATATTAAATTTAAAAACTTATTAAAAATTGATGTTTTGTTTAACTTTGTTTAGTAATCTGTTTAATATTTAGTATATTATTTAAATTTTTAAAAAAGGAAAATGTTTATTAATAATTTTTAATTTTTAAAAATGGGGGTATGGAAAAAAAAAAAATATTTTTTTTAATTTTTTTTTAAAAATTACATAATATACAGCTATACTAAAATTCCTTTTGCGAGTTTAGAAGATCAAACAATAATAAAAAATGTAAAACTATAAAATTTCTTTTTTCTTTTTTTTTTTTCTTTTTTCTTTTTCTTAATTATTTATTAACTTATTTATTTATTTATTTATCTATTTGTACACATATAATAATAAAATGAAATTTAAAGTTTTAATTTTATGTGTTGTATATTTAAGCTTATTACTAAATGTAAAAACTAATAATGCAGCATCGTACGATTTTACAGATTTTCCAAATGCCACAATTGTTATAACTTGGAATAATATATTACTTAATGCAATCCACAAAGCCAGTCCACCACCTACTGTGGTTTCGAGAAGTTTGGCAATGGGTAAATATATAATAAAATATTTTAAATATCATAAAAAATTATAAATTATTAATGATAAAGCATATTTTATTGTAAATAGTTCACACAGCAATTTATGATGCATGGGCCTCATATTCCGACTCAAGAGGTGTTTATTTAACAAATAAAAACAACATTTTATCTAATTGCTCATCATTAGCAGATAAAGAAAATTCAATTAAAAAATCAATCTCACATGCCGCATATCAAACTTTAAAAGATCTATATCCTCTTTCAATGTATGTAATTAAAATATAACTTGCAAAAACTTAACCTTATATTAACAATTATTTATCTTTAAAAATAATAGTGATTCCTATAACCAAAAGATGAAAGATCTAGGTTATAATACAAGTGATACTAATTTAAATATGGATAATGCTGCTGGTGTAGGTAATATTGCATCTAAACTATTATTAGAAAATAGATGGATAGACGGTTCAAATCAAAAAGCAATTTATGGAGGAAAGAACTATAGCGACTGGACTAACTATTGCCCTAAAAATGACCCCCAATTTGCCCCATTAAAATATCCTGATAGTTGGCAACCTCTTTTAGTACCTGTCAGAAATTCAACTGCCGCTCCACAATCATTTTCAACTCCACATTGGGGTTCCGTTAAACCTTTTGCTCTTATCAATGGTGCCCAAGTAAGACCATCCAATCCTCCACCATATGCATTAAATAACCAAACAAAAGATGCCTTAATTAAATCAGCATGGGAATTAGTAAACTATACCACAAATCTAACCGATGAAATTAAAGCTATTGCCGAGTATTTTGGAGATGGTCCAAACTCTGTTCTTCCACCAGGTCATTGGAATTTATTTGCACAATATGTTTCAAAACGTGATAACCATACTGTTGAACAGGATGTTAAAATGTACTTTATGTTAAATAATGCAGCAATGGACTCTGGTATTGCATGTTGGGACTGTAAAAGATACTATGATAACGCAAGACCTGCTACAATGATACCATATCTCCTAAAGGGTATTACAGTCACAGGATGGCATGGTGTTTGTAACGAAAATGTTACATTTGACTTAAAAGATTGGATACCATATCAAGATCCATATGTTATTACACCACCTTTTTCAGATTAGTAAGTATAGTTATAAAGGTACTTTATTTTAAAACAACTATATTAATTTTTTTTTACTAAAAAACCTATAGTGTAAGTGGTCATAGTACTTTTTCATCGTCAGCCGCAGAAATTTTAAAAAGATTTACTGGTAGCGATAAGTTTGGGGACTCCGTTGTTATTAAAGCAGGTTCATCAATTTTTGAAACTAATTGTTCTTTCCCAGTTCCACGTACAGATATTACATTGTATTGGGATACATTTACAGATGCTGCACAACAAGCCTGTATATCAAGACGTTATGGTGGTATCCATTATGATTTTTCAGATATAGAGGCAAGAAAAATGGGTAGAAAAATTGGTGAATTAGTGTGGAACAAATCACAAGCTTTATTTAGTGGTTTAGATCCAAATAACTCTACAGTAACAAACTAATTAATAAAAAATATAATATAAAAACAAATTTTATAATAATACTATATTTAATTTAGATTAAAAATAAAAGAAATAAAAATAAAATTATAAAAAATATCTTATAATCCATTTATTTAAAATTTAATATCTTTACCTAAAATTAATCTTCCCTCTTCTAATTTTGCATTATTTGTAGTTGAATCCTTTAAACGCTTAATAACAGATTTTGAAACCAATGAGATATGCTTTTGAACACTATCCTCTGCCTGAATGGCTTCAAAGAAATTATAGGTGAGTGAAAAAGCTTTTTTAGTTAGACCTGATGATTCTTCAGTGGTGTGGTACTGCTTCTTTGGTATATTGTTCTTTTTGGCCTTTAAAATATGCTCGATCATTTCTATGGATACCTTGTCGATACGATCAAACAATTCTTTTGAAAAAGTTTTAATTCTTTTAATTTTTTCGTTAGGTTCCTCGTTGTCTCCGCATATAAAACTAATGGTATCTTTTACATCGTCATAGTGACCAGAGAGTAAGAGTGACCATACGTCCTTTTCGCATTTGATGTCCTTTGGTGATCTTAAATGTAATCTTGATAAATCTATATATTGACTTGTTTTTATTTTATACATTAAACCTGTATCTTCGAATTTTAATACACAACCCTCAATATATTTTAAACCCTTAACTACTTCTACTAAATCTTCAGTTTTTTTAACTGATTCAAATTTAGAATCTTTTTTCATATCAATTAAATCTACCATTGGAATATTGAATTCGTCTGCCGCTTTCTTTAAATCTACCCATCTCAAATATTCACCTGTATGAATGTTTCTCATTGCTATTAATCTCAATACTTCTTCTTTGTAATGGATGATAATTGGTTGTTTTGGTGATGAAAATTCAAATAATGGTGAATAACCGTTTTCTAACCATTTCTTTGAAAACTCATTGTACTTGATCTGATTCGATTGATTCGATTCCACTCTAACTATAAAATCATTTAACATTGTACCCAAATCTGAAATACCCTGCTTTGAACCCCAATATATACCCATAACTGAACCTTCATTATCTATTAGCATTGGTGATATTAAACTACCATCAATTTTATCCATTAATATATACTCCCCATCCAATTTAACCAAATCCTAAATAAAATTAAACTATTAATAAATAAACACTATCTTTGATATGTAAAATAAAACTATTAAATTGATTATTTACAGCTTTACATTCTCTATATTCATTTATATTAAAAAATTTATGTAACTTTCTAACTAATAATTTTTCTGTTTTCTTACAAAAAATTAAACCTCTGCATTCTCTTCTAATCTTTAAATAATATGATTTCTTTGGATCTAATTCACTTGCTGGATCTGGAAATGATTCATCTGAAATTGAATCATAATTGAATACAATTGTATCCCCTCTAATAGATTCTCTGAAACCAGTAGCGCCTAATTTAGTTTTCCTAATATTTTAATATTTTTTTATACTTTAATTTTTGTGATTATACTATTAATAGTTACCTTTAATAGCCTCTCTGCATTCTTGAACTGTTAAACCAACAGGAAAGATTGACTTATTTTTAATTATATAATCTATTTCTGTTTCTTCCATTTTTAAATATTTATAAACTGTTTAAAAAAAAAAAAAAATCTTTTAATGCTGTTTAAAAAAAATTTAAAAAAAAATATTAAAAAATTTTTTTATTAAAGATTTGAGAATTAGTGAAAAATAATGGAAATAATTTGAAAAAATTTTTTTATAAAATTATTTTATTTTTTGTAATATTAATTGTTTTTTTTAAATGAAAATAAAAGTGACAAGAGCGAAACCTGATTTTTGATAACTTTGATGTCTTTATAAAAAAAAAAAAAAAAAAAAATTTCGATTTTTTTTGATTTTTATGAAATTTTTTTTTATATTTTATTAAAACCATTTGTAAAAAGATACACATATTTTGGTCTGAAACTATAAAACCGAACTAAATAGGTATTTTCTTTTGTTTTTTTGTTTTTTTTGTTTTTATTTAATATATTATTTTTATAAACACTCCACTAGGGGGAGTGGAGGTGGGTGAATTTTTTATTTTTTATTTTTTTTTATTTTTTTTTAATCATTTTTTTTATTATTTTTTTTTTCAAATAAATAATTAATTTTATAAAAAATTTTTTTCATTAAATAATAATAAATATATGTAATAGCAAAATAAATTATAAATAATAAAAGTTTTAAACAAGATGTCAAAAAAAGAAAAATATGATGGATTACCTTTATTAGCATCAAATGAAAGTAGTCCAATTATTGCATCGGAAATAGCGGATCAAGATATAGTTTCATTGGAATATGTGAATGAAGAGTTATTGAAGGATAATAGCAGTGATGGTAGCTCGGATGAAAATGATTTTTCATCGGATGATGGCGGTATTAGTTTAATTGAAGGTACAAATAATAAAGGATTCATCCAAATGAATAAAAAAAAATCAAAGAAAAAAAGAATACAACAAAAAAAAATACGACAAGAACAACAGCAATCACCAATAACAAAACAACTTAATATTTTTAATAATATTAGTAATAATAATAACAATCTATTTCATGAACAGGATGAAAATAAATGTAGATCAATAAACAAATCATATGATGACGATATATTTTCATTATACAACAATCAAAGAATATTATACCAAAACTATTTCACAGATAATAAACAGAAATCAAGAATATTGGTAATTGGTGGTGAAAAGGATGTAGTTAGATTAACCTTTGAGGAGTTATTGTTATTGGTAAAAGAATTTAAAAATAGAAATATGTTATATGATACAGTCAATAATCATGATATAAATAATGATAGCAGCAATATAGATAGTAATAATAACAATAGCAACAACAACAATAATAATAATAATAGTTTTAATGAAATAATAATAAACAATAATAAAAATATAAATTTTAAAATATTAAATAATATATTAAAAGAATATACAGTCAATAATGAAAAGGTATTTTGGATAGACATATTTGGTTTACAAGACGATCATATTATAACACTGTGTAAAGAATTAACCATTCACCATTTAAACATTGACGATATTTTAGAACATGACTCTGCAGAGAAATGTGAACAACACACAAATTACCATTTCATAGCAACATCAGAGATGATACAAAAGTCAAATAAAGATTTACATGAAAACAACTTCTATATGTTATTATTTTCAAGACTGATATTTGTATTACATAATAAAGAACTCGATTGTTTTAGTCAAGTTTTCAAGTCATTTAGATATTTAAATAATAGCGGTACAACACTTCAATCATCGGAATGGATCATGTGCTCTTTTTTTGATGCGGTTACTGATTTGGCAGCTATAGAGGCTGATAATATGCTGAACGAAGTGAATGCATTGGACGATTTAAGTACATTTAGCGAGGATATAGGACATCAAGATTTATATATAAGAATCGGCAAAGCAACTCGTAGAAATACAACCCTACTATCCAATTTGTTCAATAAAGAAGTGGTATTATCATCACTATCTCGTCAAATCCACTTTACAATCGAAACTAAAATTTATTTAAAACACATCCACGATAGATCAAAAAGATTAAAAGAAAAAATCAAACTCTCTGAAGATTTATTAGAATCGACCCATGGATCCTATATTGGTAAAATTTCACTAACTTTAAACGAAGAGTCACATGCCCTAACTGTTAGTATGAAGGTAATACAATTAATTATTATAATGGCCATCATTTAAATCATACCTAAATATTAACAAAAAGATATCTTTTATTTTTTTTTATTTTTTTTTTTTAGAGATTTGCAAACTATTCATTAATTTCAATGCCACTAATTTTAATTGCAACAATGTTTGGTATGAACATTAGGCTACCTGGTGGTGTATATTATCAAGATGAGGATGATGGAGGGGTTTATTTTTATCTAATCCTTTTATTAATGGTTTTATTGGGTTTGTTAACAAGCTATTTATATAAAAGAATTGGTTGGTTAGATTAAAACACCACACCACAACATAAAACAATTCATTAAACACACATATAAATATCACAAATTTTTAAAAGAATTATAGTTTCTAATAAAATCACCCTCCCCATAAAACCATATAACACACAAAAAAATTTTATCACACCTGCCAAAATTAAAGTCTTAAGGACAACACTTCACCTGTAGAGTGGTTTTTTTTTTTTCAAATAAAAAATTCCCAAAAATTTAATAAATAATTAACAAAAATTTAATAAATAGTTAACACACACAACAACACCCCCCAAAAAAATAATAATATATGCAATATTCAACAATACAACCATTACATATGGGTAATAGCTATAGTATTATAAATAATGCCATATTTAAATTGTAAATAAAATTTAAAATAATGTAATAATATAACAATAAATTAAAATTATTTTATTTATTTTTATTTTTTTTTAGTTTTTAAAAATTATATTTTTTTTATTGTCTAGTTGGCTATGATACACAAAAAATAAATAAAATATAAGATATCTTTTTTTTTTATTTTTTTTTTTTTTATTTAATTTTATTTTATTTAATTTTATTTTATTTTTTTTTAATTTTCATACTTTTATTTTTTTAATAATAATAATTTTATCATACAGTTTTTCTTTTTTTTTTTCTTTTGATAGTTTGTTTTTATAAATAATAATAAAAGAAATAATACAAAATAGATAAAAGATAAGAAAATCCAAGTGCACCCCCACACCCCTATTTTTTAGATTTTTATTAATTTATTTATTTTTATTTATTAATTTTGTATATTTATTAATTTAATCATAATCATAATAATAAAAGAAATAATAGAAATAATTGCGTTTAATCAATTATCTTTAATAATTAATATTAATTGTTATTAGCAATCTCAGATTCCCAAAAATTTTGTATTTTAATTTTTTAAAAATATTTTTTTTAATTTTTTTTTTTTTTTTTTTGATTTTTTCAAACAACCCTTTTTCATCATACATTCACCATTTGACACGATTTTCTCATTTTTTTTTAGTAACGCTTTGATACCATTACACAAAATAATAAACTTTTTTTTTGTGTGTAGTAAGAACCTATCAATATTTTACACACACCCCTAATTATTTTTATTTTTTTATTTAATTTTTTTACATAACAACTGTTGTGTGTATATTTTATTTTTTAATTAATATTTTGTTTGTTTTTACATTAATAATCAAAACAAATATCACAATAATATAACACACAATGTCCTCTAATGATGAAGAAAAATTAACAACCTTTTCAAATGGTAGTTTTGATAATATTAGAGACAACAACCTAATTGATAGTAATATAGATAATAATAACAATAATAATAACAATAATAATAAAAACAACATCAATATTAGTAATAGTCAAGATAATAATAGTTTTAATAATAATAATAATAATTTAAAAAATTCAATTAAAGGTAGAAATATTAATTCAGGTGGTTTACATAGAAGTTTCTCAAATTTAAGTGATGATTCATACCAACAAAAACATCAAAAACAATTAAATTCTAGTAATAGTAAATTTACATTAAATAAAAACTATTTAGATAGTTTAGAATATAGCTCAACTGAAAATTTAGTTTCTTTAGAAAATTCTATAAGTTTTACAAGTAGTACACAAACAATAACAGCTGATCTAAATAATAGTCCAAATAATAATAATAGTCCAAATAATAATAATAGTCCAAATAATAATAGTCCAAATAATAATAGTCCAAATAATAATAGTCCAAATAATAATAGTCCAAATAATAATAGTCCAAATAATAATAATAATAATAATAATTTAAATATTGGTAGTTTATCTTTAAAAGAAAAAAATAGCTATAATCAGCGTTTATCACCATTAAAAGACTATATATCACAACATAGTGAATCAGAAGCCACAGAATTAGAGGTTAGAACTATTTCAGCAAGAAATTTAAAGTTACAAAGAAAAATGTCAACTGTTAGTTGTAGCTCTATGGCAAGTTCTGTTTCTTTTGGTCAAATGGAAAATGAAGAAAATAATTTATCACCAGAAAATGTAAATAGACAATCACCACAACCAGAAGAATCAAAAAATAATTCATTCATGAATATTAACAATAATATATCACAAGAACATGTAAATAAACAATCATCACAACCAGAAGAAAATAAAAACCAACAATTAACAAAAATAAATGATAATAGTTTTGAAGGATCATCAACATCAACATCAGATAGCGAGGTCGCAAAAAGCTCTCAATCAAATACACCAACAAAACAAAATGGCACAATGAGCATTAAAATTAGAGATAAAATAATTGATAAAACCACACCAGTTAATTTTAATGTAGGTGGTACTTTGTATGCAACCAGTATAAGAACACTTTCGCTATACCCAAATTCATTACTTTTCAAAATTGTAGAAATGCAAATCGATCTAATTATGAATGACGAAGTTGTTTTTATAGATAGAAGCCCCAGCTACTTTAACCAAATATTAGATTTTATTAGAACAGGTTTATATATTCCAACTCCAAATATAAATTCAAAAGGTATGCTCCAAGAGGCAGAATTTTTTAAACTTTCAGAGTTGGCCAATCTTATAAAGAATGAACCAGAGATATCGAGAACCGATGTTATAAACATGATTAATAGCTGTTATGACTATCCAAGATTCCGTGGTATGTGGTTAACAAAAATAAATTTCTCTGGTTTGGATTTAAGCTGTGCAGCCTTTGACTATTCAAATTTATCTGGGTGTCTTTTTAATAGTGGTTTAATCCCAAAAGCTAGTTTTCAAGGTTGTAAATTGGATATGAGTGTTTTCAAATATTGCAAAGCTGATGGTGCAAATTTTACCAAAGCTATATTATCAAATTCTGTATTTTCGAATGTAAATGGTTATGAACTCATCGCTGCTGAGGTGGATTTCTCAAATTCAAAATTAACAAACTCTCTTTTATCTTGTTCCGATTTCTCTGGGTCAAATTTTAAAGGCTCTCTTTTAGATGGAGTTGACTTTACCAATTGCAATTTGTCAGATTGTGATTTTAGAGGTTGTTTTATCGACGAAAGAACTAATTTCAGTGGCAGTAATTTAAAAGGTGCTTTATTTGATGAACAATCTTTATCCATCGCAAAAAATAAAAAATCATGGAAAAAACCCAAATCATTAACAAGAAATAAAATTGTTATACCCCATTTATAAAATAAAAATATTATTTATTTTAAAAAAGAAATAAATTAAAGTTTTTTTTTTTTTTTTTTTTAAATATCAATATAATTTTTAAAAAAAAATTTAAATTTATTTATTTTTATTTAGATCATAAAAAAAAACTTCATTATTATTTATTATTTATTATTTATTATTTATTATTTATTATTTATTATTTATAATTTATTATTAATTATTTTAACAATTTTAAATATTATTTATTTTAAATCCCAAATTTCTTTATCAATGTCACCACCATAATATTTTTTATAAGCTTGTAAAGAGTTTTGATATCTTTTTCTTTTTGAGGCCTTCGTATCGAACAAAGTATCAGCATTACTAAAAATATTACATTCCATTAAGTTACAAAAAGTGCTATAGAGGTCACTTTGAGTACAATGAATTTGCCATAATAAATCGATTATTGCTGAGCCTTGTAATCTTCTTGAGTCAATGTCGTTGTCATAAATCTTTATGAGGTTAAAACGAATATATTCTTTCTTTAATCTTTCCTTGAAATTTTCGCCTTTTAATATACTATTATCAGTATTTACTTCACAATATTTCTTTTTAAATAGTTTGTATAGAGTTTTAAAGTCAAAATTGTTTATGAATTTCTCTTCCACTGTTCTGATATCGTTGCTGTATAGAGTTGATTTTCTTTGTTTTAAAAGTTTGGTTGACTTTTGTAAAGTCATTGTTGTTGATTGTGATTGAGAATCTTTTTCAATTTCCTCTTCTTCTTGGTTTACACCCTGGTCGTGTTGTTCAATGAGCTCTTCATCATCATTGGCTACATTTTCTGCTTCGTTTGCCTTTCTTTCTTCGCTTTCCCTGTTCTTTCTTTCTTTTCTCTCTTTCTTTCCCATTTGATTTTGCATCTTTAATTCTTTAATCTTTTGCTTTACTATTTTTCTCTTTTCTTTTTCTAATTTTTTCAATTCCTTTTCTCCAAATTTGTTTTCATCTTTGAACTTTTTATTTTGCCCCAAAACTTCATCTAAATATAGGTCATTGATATTTCTTTTCTTTTTGATATTGTTTAAATATTCATCGACACTAGTTTCATTGGTATGAACAATAGGATGACGACCATTTTGATTATTGTAATTTTGAACATTCTTTTCATTATCAAAAGATAGATTTTTATAAACTGAATCTTGAAATTTTGAATCAGTAACTTTTGAATTTATTTTATTGGTATTTATATTGATTTTGCTCGCTGTTAAATTTGATTTCTTTTCAGAGGGTTTAATACTAATTTCTGTATATTGTGGGGAAGGTTGTATAGTTTTTTGTTGAGTTGGAGATTTGGATCTGGGCTTTTGTGATTTTTGTAATTGGTGCTGTTTTTGTTGTGATTTTTGGTTTTGCTTTTCTTTATTAGTTTCTTTATAAATTTGGTTAATTGTTGATTGTTGTTGATCTTCAACATAAATAGATTTAAATTTAAAATTCTTTTCACAAGTTGAACTATATGGATTAAATAAATGGCATTCTATTTTTAATCTAACATAACTTTTATCATATTTTTCAAAAACATTGTCATCTTCTTTGATGCAATTTAAAACTTTGATAATATTTCTATTAGGCTGGTTATTTACCTCTTGCCCGTCCCCATCGAAAAATATTGAAAAGTGTCTGTATAAATAGTCATTAATATCGACCCAATGTACTCTGAATGGTACGAAATTGTTCATTACAATAAATACTATTGAGATTGAAAAATTTAATAAATCTTCTTTTAACCATGTCGATTTTTTCTTTAGTAGCCAATTGGGTATGCCAAGTTTACATACTAAACATCTACACTCGATTACATCATTATTTTGTTGACTTTCTTTATTATTTATTTGTATATTATTATTTAATTCTGTATTACTATTGTTATTATTATTATTATTATTATTATTATTATTTTGATTATTATCATTATGGCTATAAATTATTATTTTATCAGAATTAGGTTTTAATAAGTTGAAAATTTTTAAAGTCTGAAAGTGGTATTCTAAAAAATCATTATAGTAATACATTAAAGAATCGTTGAAATTGAAGTTGTATATGCTTTTCTTTGAATCAAATTCATTTTGATTAATTCTTTTAAATATTTCGTCTCTTAAATATTGTCTAAGTTGAACTTGTAACGATGCTGATTTTGGATCTTGATATAGTAAAACTTTTTTACTCATTAAATAGTGATGGATTTCATCATCGGTCATTGATTGAATTGCACGTTTATTTAAAAAAAATTGTTCTGGATCGGATCCGGATGGATAAATATTGATTTCATCTTTGATATTTATATCATTTGATATTATAGTATTACTATTATTATTATTATTAAATTTTGAATAAAAATCATCACTATTTTGATTTAAATATTCATAATATTTTTTATAAAATACTGCTGGTTCTTTATCTGGAAATGGATTATATGTGATTGTTTTGTAAGGATTATAGTTACTACTATCTATTTTATTTATATTATTATCATTGATTATTAACTTCATTGTAGAATCTAAATTATTTATACTTCCAGGATTATTATTATTGTCTATACTCTCTGTTTTAGTTATATTTGTATTGTTTATATCATTAATTCTTCTATTAAAAACAGGTGAGTTTATTTGGGATATTTCATTATTATTATATATTGTTTGCATATTAATTTATTTTTATTTAAAAAAAAAAAAAAAAAATTAATTTAAATATTAATAGAGCAACTGTTTTTATATTTATTTTATAAATTTCTCTAATATATTGTTTTTTTTTATTAATGGAAAATAAAAAAAATTTTTAAATTAAAAAAATATTTTTTTTAAAAAAATTTTTTAAAAAAATATAAAAAAAAAAAAAAAAAACAAGTTACAGTTATTATTTGTATGTGTGTTTTTGAGTTAATGTGCAGTTTTTGAAAAAAAAACTTTGGAGTGTGTGTAATTATTTGTTTGTGTGTGTCAACTGGTTATAAAAACAATTTTGTAAAATAAAATTTTTGAAAAAAATATCGAAAAAAAAAAAAAAAAAAAAAAAAAACAAAATAAAATAAAAATTAATTTTAAAATAAAATTAATTATTTATTTTTATAATAATAATTTTTTTTTAATTTTGTAAATGTAAATACAAGGTGTTTTTTTAGAAAACGTTCCAAATAAAGTTTTTTAAAAAATAAATTGATAAATTTATTTTTTTATTATTTTTATTAAATATTTAGGTGAAAATTTTTGGAAACGATGTTCAAATTTCCTTATTGGCCAAAAAATAAATTTTTAAAAATTTCCGAATAATAAATTGAATTTCTATTCTCAACTTTTTCTCTACCTGAAATGTAAATTGGTTGGTATACAATTTTTTTTTGATAATCAAAGATACTTTGAGTTTTTCCATATTTGGATGATATACCATAACATTGAGGTGGTAAATTAAATAGTGTTTGATCTGATTGATTGATAAAATTGTAAAATGTGGTTAATGCAAAGCCAGTGGGATTGTTTATATTGTTGTGGCTATTCATTGACATTAAACCACATGTATCTCTATTTATAATGATTGTGTTGGTTGTTGTAGAATTTGAAGTTTGAGATGGTATGATTTGTAAAAAATCAACATCCACGTTACCCATGGTTCCCTGGCTAACTTTTTCGACCTGTGGAAAGCTTTCTACAAGGTATTCATCTACTAGTTTGGATATATAGCATGTTCCATTTACCAGACTATCTAAAAAATATTGAGTACTCTAAATTTTTTTTTTTTTTTTTTTTTTTTTTTTTTTTTTTTTTTTTTTTTTTTTTTTTTTTTTTTTTTTCCAAATTTAATAAATTAGTAAAATTAAATTTATATCTATATATTTTTTAAGAAATTTATAAATTCCAGTTTTGTTTTAATAGTTTTTAATTTTACTTACATTTTCTTTGAATGCATATAGTTGACCAGAAACCCAATCATCACCTCCTTCATTTAACCTATATTGACCAAAGAATCTACTATTTACATAGTCCATACTAGCTAGACCTGCTGTATAAAAAGATAATTGTTTAATTTGATCATCGGTTTTAAAATTTATATTAAATGATGAGGTTATAAATTCAGTTGTAAAACCTTCGATCTTTTGGCCATTTGTATAGCAAGACTCGGATTTAGCTCCTGTAAATGATACTAATAATAAAAATAAAAATAATAATAATTTCATTTTATTTTATTTAAATTATAAAATATTAAAAAAAGATATTAATGTTAAAAAAAAAAAAAAAAATTTAAAATTTTATAAAAAAAAAAAAAAAAAAAATTTAAAAAAAAAAAAACTAAAACAATCCATCAGTTTTATAAGAAATAAAATAATAATTTTTTTTTATTTTATACAAATGGTTTTTTTTATAGAGTTCTTTTTTATTATAGTTCATTATTGATTAATTTATTATCTGGTGAAACTGCATTTTGAATTTCGATAAATGGTGAAGAAGGACTTGCGTAACGTGCAGTGTTCATTGACCAATAGTATTTACCATTCATAATATACTTTAATGAATTTAAAAGGGTGGCCAATGGCTGAATATTATTATACTGATTTAATAATTTTTCTTCATGGTTTTGGAACTCTTTAATATACATATTTGATTTTTCACAAATATACTTAAAAGTATCTTGAATTGAGGTGTTGTTCTTTTTTTGGAGGAACCATAAACAGTTGTTGACACCAGCATTTCCTTTAACCTCTTTTGCATAGCTGACACAATCATTATACAAAGCGGTGACGATAGAGGTGGCTTCACATAATTTTAACCATCTTGGATTTAAAAATAATGATTGGTCAATTTTATCATTGGAAAAAAATATACACGATAAACCAATTAATGGATAAACACCAACATTTAATTTTCTAATAAATAAAAACAAATCCATATGGGGTTCCTAAAAATAAAAAAAAAAATTAAAAAAAAAAAAAATTAGTATAAAAAAAAAAAAAATTTAATAAGGGATTTAAAAGTTACAATTGTTTTATTTAATGGAATAATTGAATGGATCCATTGAATAGTATAATTTAAAAATAGATTAAACATATCTAATCTATTACCACTCATTTTTAAAACTTGATTTCTAAAAAAAAGTGTAAACTCTTCTTTTTTAGTGGGGTTGGTGGGTAGAATTCCTTCTAAAAAAATCAATTCGGTTCTATTTATAATTTCGGTGGCTTCGTCATCTGGAATAAAAACAGTGTCCAAATCATCATCAAATAAAATCAACCATAGCATCAAATAACCTGAAAGTACCAATTGGTCATAGGTTACAGTGGGCCAGAATGCAGGACAAACTGTCAAAGCATGGTACATAACAGCTTTACCTTTTTCATCACTTTTATCATATATATTCATTTCGATTGCTTTTTGATAGCATTCTTGTATAAATGAGTTGTCATTTATAGATTTTACATTCCATTCATTGGGCACATGAAAATCTTTAAGTGTTAAATTCATCTCTAAATTTATTATATTGAAAACTTAATAAAAAAAATAAAAAATTTATAAAAAAATTAATCATTTTTGTGATAAAATTAAAAAAAAAAAATCTTTTTTTTTTTCGTTTTTTTTTTAATTTTAATTTATTTTTAAAATGGATTATTATTATTACTTTTACAATTATTACCAACATAATTTATACAAGTTATTTTATATTTAAAAAAATGATTTAGAATTTTTTTAATTTTTTCGATTATTAATTTTTTTTTTTTTTTTTTTTCATTTTGGATTTGTTGAAATACTAATTGAAAATAAATGATTTAAAATATCTTCGGCCATTTTTGTCCCTTCAACTCTACTTTTTATTTTTTTAAATGCTATTTCTCTTGAACTTTCAAGAGAGTGGGTTTGAGGATATCCACCTATGGGAGGTTGCGAAAATGGAGAGTAACCACAATCACAACATGTTCTTAAAATAAAATAAATAAAAAAATATAATATTAAAAATTTGTATATCTGGAAAATAATAATACTTAAAAATATACTTACCCAATTTGATTTAATGGTATATATTTGGCAATCTCTAATACTAAATCTCTGACCTCTTCAGGAGTTTCAACTCTTGGGTCCACTACATTAATTACACCAAAGAAAACTATTTGATGGGGTTTAATATTTTTTGCAATACATTCCAATATTCTTATTTTATCTTTTTCAGCTGCAAACTCTAGATAAAACCTTGATACACGTAGCTTAAATAATGATGGTATTAATAGTCTACAATAATCAACATCTGAACTATGAAATGATTTATCCCCACCAGGACATGAATGTATACCCTGTTTTTAAAAAAAAAAAAAATTAATATTTTTAAATTTTAATTTTAGAAGTTTTTTAAATGATACATACAATCTTTTGAATTTCTTCATCATTAAACCTAATGAGTAATTGATTATTTAAATCTATAAATTTTTTTAACATTTGACCACTTGGATCGATCTTTAATGAGAGTCTAGCCTCTGTTGCATCGATTTGAATGGATTCTACACCAGTTTCCAAACACATTCGAATTTCCTTTTCCACTTCATTAAGCATATCTTTATAAAATTCATCTTTACTATATTTTTCAAATTGTTGGTTGGCTGGATAGATCAATGACATTGCTGAAACACTTATTATAGTTTGTTTGATTTTTGCATATGGAAACATTTTTTTAACTCTACTTAGGTATTCATTGGCATATTGTTTATATTTAAATGGTAGATTCTTTCCCGATAAAATTGGTAGTTGCCTTATATGTCCATCTTGAAACTGAATTATAAATCCTTTCTTTTCATTATTTTTTTGGTCTATTACTTGATTTGAACCATGTATTGGGTACGTTATAAAATTTGGTTTATATTGTTCTCCATCTGTAATTACTACAGAACCAGCTTCTAAAAAACCATGAACTGTTTCTTCTAATGATTTATCACATATTGACATATACTCTTCATAGGTAATTAAACCTAATTTAAGAAAAAAAAAAAAATTATTAGAAATTGTAAATTTTAAAAATTGGCGCAATGATAGTTTTAAAATAATTTTTTTACCTTCATTATATTTTTTAAAAGAATCAATTAAATATCTGGGTCTGGGTATACTGCCAATTGGTTCTGTTGGAATATTAATCTTCATTTTTTGAATTTAAAAGACAAAAACTATTTAAATGATTAAAAAAATAAACAAAATAAAAAAATAAAAAAAAATAAAAAAAAGAAAATATAGAAAAACTTTTTTTTTCTATTAGATTATTATTTATTTGTATATATTTATATTTATATTTTATATGATTTATTTATATGATTTATTTATATGATTTATTTATATGACTTATTATTTATATTAATAAATTAATGTTAATTAAATTTCATTTATTAACCAACTTATTTTTTTTATTTTAATTTTCTAATTTTTATTATTTTTTTTTTATAATAAATATAAACCCCAACACCCACAAAAAGAAAAAAAAATTTAAAAAGAAATATAAAATCAAAATTTAAAAAAGAAATATAAAATCAAAATTAAAATTTTTTTTTTTTTCTTGTTATTTGATTTAAAAATTTTGATCAGGTATTTTGAAAGTGTGGTGTATTTGTGTGTATGGGTCTAGTGCTTATATTTGTGATGATAAATAAAAACGACTAATAAGTTTAAAATGAATATGGGGGTGTGGTACAAAGTATATATATTTATGGTGTAGGTTATAAAAATAAAATTAAAATTTTTTTTTTTACCTTTGTTTTTAAAGAAATTTTAATTAATAAATAATAATAGAAAAAAAAAAAATAAAAAAAAAAATAACCAAAAAAAAAAATAGATTTTTTTTTGATTTAAAAAAAAAAAAAAAAAAAAAATTTTTGGTTTTGTGATTTTGTGTTCAACCCCTAAATAAATAAAAAAAATAGGGAAATACCCACTAAAAAAAAAAAAGAAAAATATTTAAATATTTTCATTTGTATATAATAGTTTATATATCCCAAATATTTATCAATGAGATAATTTAATTTTATTTATTAGTTTATTTGTGGTAAAAAAAAAAAAAAAGATATAATTATATTATTCGTATTCTAATTTTGACTTATTAGAGAATTTTAATGAGTGGCTCTTCCAATTTTCATCATTTTGTTGCGAGTTTTCTTCATCATCGTATTTATCGTATATACTACTTGTACCACTAACATATTGTTTACTTTCTGAACTGTTTGTGTTTGTTGATTTATTTAATGATGCTTTAAATGAATCTAATTTTTTCATCAACTAATAATAAATAAAAAAAGTGTTAGAAAATATAAAAAAATAGAAATAATATTATTGTTTTTTACATACATCGCTATCTGATATTATTTTTGATTTTTTTAAAACTCTAGATTCACCGACTGTTGTAGCTTTAAATTGTAATGAACCTTTAACTTTTTTTCTTTTTTCCACTGGTTTATTAGCTGTGGTGTTTGTGGTTGTAGCTGGGGTTGTGGTTGTGGTTGCGCTAGTTGATTGATTTTCTTTTTCTTTTTCTTGTTGTCTTTTTAAACCTTTTTGTATAATATCTTCTTTCATTTTATCGCTGAAGCTTTTTGATTTATTTTGATCATCACCTGCATTTTCCTCTTCATTTACATCATCGTTATCGTCATCCTCGTTCTTTCTACTTTTATTATTTAATTTATCTCTTAAACTAATTTTATCACCATTACTACTGCTATTGATATCCAAATCTATTTCTTTTTCTTTTTCTTTTCTTTCTTTTTCCTTTTTCTCTTGTTTTTGTTTTTCTTTATCTAAATCATTTGTATTTTTAATATTTTTCTTTGGAATAAATTCTTCTTCTTCTTTTTCTTCTTGTTCTTCTTCATCACCAAATGATAATAAACCCAAATTCCTTTAATTAAAAATATAAAATCAATAATTAGTATTTATTGTTATAATATTACTATAATTTTTATTAATATAGTTACTTTTTTGTTGGTTTCTTTTTTACTTCTTTTATTTTTTCTTGTTTTTTATCTCTTGGAATTATATCATCGAACGGATTCCAAACTACTTCGGTTTTTAAAATTTTAGGTGGAAATAAAGGCATATCGGTTTCGGGGTCAACTTCGATGTCATTAACTTTCAAAACATTAAAAAGTGTATCTCCTACTACTCTACCAAATAGGGTATGTTTTTTAGTGAGATTTTCTGTTTTGGATAAAGTGAAAAAGAATTGAGATTTATTTTGATCGGGTGAAGCTGAAGCCATACCAACTAAACCTCTACGATTGAAACGTAATCTAGAATGAAACTCGTCTTTAAAGCCTGTACTTTTAGACCCATCACCTAAACCTGTATCTTTTAATGGATAAATTGATTCTCCTCCTTGACCTGTACCTGTAGGATCACCAGTTTGGGCGATAAAATCTTTGATAACACGATGAAATATATTTCCATCATAGTAACCCTCTAAACATAATTGTACAAAATTTCTAACTGCTAATGGTGCTTCCTTTGCCCACAATTCAATCTCTATATCACCTAAAGTTGTTTTTAAAATAACTTTACCACTTATATTGGGTTCTGAAACTGACATTTTAAATAATTTTTATATTTTATGTATGCTGTATATGTTGTTATTTTTTTTATTGCTTTTATTTAAATAATTTATATGTTGTTATAAGATACTTTATTATTATTATTATTATTATTAAAATAATATAATTTTATTATATTTATTATTTTACTAAATATAATAATTATATAATATTTTATATCTATAAATTTATTGTCATTTTTACTATAGTGTGCACCTGTATATCTATGTAATAAGAAGTGCACTGTTTAAATACTGCCCCTGCGTCTGTATAAACTATTTATAGTATATTTATATGTTTTTTGATAGTCAAGTGGCGGATTTTTTGAATGA